ATGTCATGGACAATATTACCAGGCAGAACCAATTCTATGAGAGCCAAGTCATCAAACAAGAGAACGAGGCTGGCTATGACAGAAGACCACTGGAAATGGAGCCACAGCAGCAGGCCTATCGCCCAGGTGGGAAAGCTGATGGGCCTCTTGTTTCAGGGAAACAAAACTTACATGTGGCTAGTGCCTTCTATGAAGAATCTGTCCTCCCAGAGAGGTTTTATTCTGTCCTTGTGGCTAATTCACGAATAAAGCTTCTTATTCTTACTCCAAATAAGGCTTCCTTATTCTAGCAAGCTGCTTTTGAAGGAAAGGACTCCATCCCACTCTCAGGTGTTAGAGTAGTAGAGCCTTCATGGTAGCTGTTTTCAGATGATGATGATGATAATACGTAGTCTTAAGGCCGAGAGGCCAATACCTGAGTCTTACGTAGAATCTTAGATTGTGGAAGCCAGAAAGGATCCCAAATCTAACCTAGTATTTCCCACACTACTTTCTGAAGAATAATGTTCTAGGAGATCATATAAGGATTTCCCCAGAGAAGAGCTTCTTAGCCAGGTTGTGTTGTAGCCACTAGGAGTCACCTAGATTCCCAAGGAATCAAAATCAAGATAGCACTGATAATGGTTTCTGTGCGATAAAAACTAAGCACCTCCATTCTCCACCTTCTTCACTGCTTCTGGCACCAGGCACTCCTCACTCCAAATATTTTCTACATCTCTGCTAGTTCAGTAATTTTTGTGATGACCATGCGATACTTAATAGATTTTACTCACAGTGGGGTGATTTATTAAGGAAATTTGGGCCTACAACTTGGGATCAGGAATGACTCATGATTAGTGAGCATACAGATATGACCTGGAAAATAAAGGCAGATCTTTCTCTTAGCCATCCTAGCTGCTTCTCAGCTGTGTATGCCCCCTCTCAGCCAAGCAGGCCTCTCTGAGTTTGACCTCCCCACTGTAGACCTCTCTCCCCCCTGCTAACTGGCTCAGCTTAGCCAGTGTGGTACCTTACCAGCTCTCTTAGCTGATTTCCTAGCAGCAGCTTTCTGTTGTCGCTCCCACATAGCCACTTCTAAGAGTCTTGAGGTATTTGGTAATTTGACCCATATTACCGTTGTCTTAGGAAGTTCTTTACTTTCTCTGGGATCCCTTGTGGCTTAGATTTTGGTCTGCTATCAGACCAACATAGGAGAAAAATGTGACTCACAAATTTTACAACCTCAGAAATCCTATGGGGCAGTTCTACACAGTCCTTTAGGGTCACTGAGTCAACTTTTATGATGATGTTGTTGTGGTTGTGGTTGTTATGGTAGTAATAGATTCTCACACCGTCCTCTCTCCTTGCCTCTAAAAGCTGCTGTGGCACTAGCTGCTTATATACTCCCAACTCCTCGTTTATTTCAAGGCATGGCCCTCTCAGCAGGACCACAGATTGACCAGTCTTCTCAGGTGTAAAAATAGACCAATCACAGGGCAGCCAAATGTACCAAACATTAACTTATTTACACCTCTTCCAGGAAATATCAATCAGCCTAGATAAAAGTAACAGATTCTCAGGAGAGAAAGCAGCGTGAGAGTCCCCTCCAAATTACTTCTTCAAAGAACTGGGGCAAATATTAATTCCTCAGGACTTGGAAGTAAGGTGGGAAGGGGGAACCTCTCACTGTTTTCAAAGAATGATGGCAAAGGCTTAAAGTAACTTGTTTTGCTTCCAAAGTAATCTGGAAATTGCGGCATATGCTGTACTTCTTATAGATGGATGCATATGCTCATTAGCATATTAAAAACTGACAAGTCCTACATTGGGAGCCTAGGAAGCTTGTGCACAGTTGTTTTAACCCACGTTTCCCAAACATTTAGATATGTCTCTTTAGAACTATGATCCCCATAATACTGTTATCTAACAGTATACTGGAACAAGACTCCAGGATGTTGGCTTCTGTGCTGGTGAATAGTGGTGAATGACATAGCCTGCTGTCATTGTGGGGATGAAGTTAGGATGGTGTTGTAGCTCCAGTTCCTTTTTCTCAGCAAATCTAGTTGATTCTGTCTGATTCTCTTCTGATTTATTTACAGAGTGAATTTTCTGGACATTTCTTTTGGGAAGCTCAGGACTTAATGAATGTGGCTTAATCTACAGATTTGTGTCAGGCTCTGTGAGAAGTGTGGAATCATTTGGCCCAATGAGAAATTTTTGTCAGTTGTCAACAGATGTTTATCAGGGGCTTCCTTTGGGCCTAGCCCTGTGCTGGGTCAGTGGGGACTGGGTTTTTTGTTGTTTTTTTTAGGTGGTTTTTTGTTTTGTTTTTAAATTTTAATTACAACTTTATTCTGGTTCTAAATAAAAAGGAATGGGAATGACAGTAGCAGTCAAGACTGCACCATGGAATACTGTGATGGGACTGTAGTAGTCTGTATTTGAAACTCAAGAAGGAAATAGCTGCTTTTCAAAACAGCTAAATGTGCAGGTCCAAAAAATGAAGGGCTTTTTGGTGTTTTTTTTAACTGCCACTCTAACTCCAAAACCCATTCATCTCCTTGAGCATCCCAAAGATTAGTATGTGTTTTGATTAGCTGGATACTAAAATGACAAACACCTGGTACCACTGACATCACAGGACAGTTGCCTCTAAAACTAGACTTCTGGCGCTGGGCTCCAGTTTCATTCCCTCATAGATCTTCATGCTTGTCCAGGAGAGTATGTCTGTGCAACCTCTAAATGATGTTCATGTTGTACTGCCAAAGCTGCGTCCATAACAACTGTGGGGCAAGAGAAGGCATGGCAACAAGTTACAGTTAGTTTTCTAGCAGGCCAAAAGAAAGGCTTTTCAAAGTTGTAGTTAACTTTTTGCAGAAATTTCATAGTTCTAAAAATGGTTCTTTTGACGGAAAATGATGGATTTTGCCTTAACTTTCCTGTCCTTAATGTCCACTTCGTTGCCACATAACCCTGTGGGATATTTTCACATACTTGAACCAGAGCCCTGTGCCAGTGAGGCACATTCTTGTCAGTCTCAAGGTTATGTCAAACATTTAATGGCACACTGGACTTGGATAGAATAGCCATCCCTTGGTCCCCAAATTTCTCCTTGCTAGCTATATCCCACATAGTGAATTTAATTAGTTCTCATTTGGTGTGGAACACAAGGGGCTGGGCCTCAACATACTTCTCACATTCCCCAGTAAGATGACATTTAGAAACATTTTTCCAGTACCATCATCGCCCACTAACATGAGTTTGAACTGGGCTTGCGGTTCTCCTTGGGCAGCCATTGTGATGGTTCTTCAGAAGTATCTATAGGCCCCATCTGAAGAATTGGAGCTATTTTAAGATGGTTGAGCAACTTCTCTGCCTTGGAAAACTAGCATCCATGTCTGAGAGATTTGGTCTGTTAAAACTAGTGAATTTTCCATAGTAGTCTTCAATTGAGTGCTAAAATGAGTGCATATGGGTGATAAACAGATTGGAGACAGATGTGGTAGAATGAAGGCTAGATTGCAATGCACGGTTTGCCCTCAGTTAAATTCTGAGAGCTCGAAACAGCTGGGACCCAGAAGGCAGGGTATTTTGTTCAATAGTCAGCTGGTGACTGAGAGCCTGCATGCCGTGGGCCTTGTGTAAAGCACTAGCAGTAAGAATTTGGTAGACTTCCACATGGCCTACGTATCCATATAATGGGATATTATCTTAGTGTGCCAGATCTGAGTCACAGCCAGAATCCTTCAACACCCTTCCAGGAGCACATCCTTCCATACCTGCAGGCTTCCACTGGATCTGGTAACATGAGCCCTAGAGAAAATGCAACCCAGCACCTGGAAGGCTGTTTTCCACAGAGGTCTGGTAGCCTAGTGGCAAGAAGGTGTGCTGCAGTCCGGAAGCCACACGGTTAAAGGCCATCAGCTGCTCTCCCCTCCTCTGTGATTAACTGCCTCAGAAAATCTGCTGGAGGATCAGCTGTGGCTTTTCCCTAGATGAGCTGACAGACCCTGGCTGAGCAGGAAGGAGAGGGACTTGAAAAATCTGCAACTATTTCTCCTCAAGTTCCCCATAAAATTCAAGACACAGAGGCACTTTGACCTCAATTATTTATTGTTATTTTTGAGTTTTGCTTATCTTGCTTAGGATTGTCCATAAACACAGTGCAAATTTACCTTTCCAATTTGTGAGCACTTCCATAGCTCATCTTTTTCATGGTTAACTCATGTACCATAACAGAATCTGTATATTTCATTTCCTTGCCTTATTTTTTCTTCTCCATGTTCCTAACAAAAGAAGATTGAGTTTGTAACCCATTAAGAATTTAATAAATAAAATAATATGGGGGAAAAAAAAAAAAAAAAAAATTCTGAGAGCTCAATGGTGTTTGCCTGAGGCTTGGACTTTGTCAGGGGCTCATAGCACTTTTCCATTTCAGCTTCCAGTTTGTGGTGGGTCTTGATGAGGTTATCATAACAGTGTGGAATGACTTAACCACAGACTCTTCTTTCCAGGGTGATTCTGAGCTTGTGGAGTTAGCTATAGGACAAGTCTCAGTACTATCTTGAGCTGACTGTTGACTGCTCCTTTCTAGATTGGAAAGCTTTGTAAGAACCAAGATGGAGAGGTATTTGAGGAGGAAAAATTGGAGAATGTAGCACTTCAGTTGAACAAGATCTTAGAAATGGCTCTTTCCTGCTCAGGGCAGACAAAGGTGGCTGCCAGCCTTCCTGTGGACCTTTAATGGAAGGCAGCTATCCCACCTCTGTTGGACTTTTAAAGCATTTTTCCTCATTTAGTGCAGAAATCTCCCCTTGTATGTGTGACAGCTGCCACCCCATGATTGTTGTTGTTACTGATTGCCGTCAAGCCACATGACTCATAGCTACCCTATGAACAAAAGGCTTGAATCCTTTCTATAACTATCAATATTAATCCCAGTTTATAGAGTTTCCAGAGGCATATTTAGGAAATGGATGTCACTCATGCTTCCAAACCTGTCTTAAACTGGGAGCTCCACCAAACACTGTCCACCATGGGTAACCGTTATGACATTTGACACCCCGATGGCTTACCAGGCCTTAATTGCCTGGCTGGCCATCCCCAGCCTCCCCATCAGCCCATCCCTGTTCTCTAGTGCAGCTGTTGGCTCTGAAACTTAACATTAAACCCAGGTTAATGCCTAGATCTTCACCACTTTAGGCAGGACTTTGTCACCATTTCCTGAAGTAAAAGGAACCGGAGGGGACAGCCAAGGAGTTTCTTCAAACTATTCACCATCTCTCTTTGACAGTAGAAATGAAGACAGAGATGAAACAGGAAGTACCCACCAGCTTCCTACCCTCTGAAGCATCTCACCCCAAGCCAGACAGACTACAATTCCAGAGTCGTAAGAGGCCTTATGAAGAAAACCGGGGACGGGGGTACTTTGAGCACCGAGAGGATAGGAGGTATGTCAAGGTGTCAGTTACTTTTGTTCAGTAGGTAGTTAATAGTCCTTGGTCCCCAAGAATCTGTGTGGTCTGAGAGGAGCACAGTTCCCCCTGCATTCACTACCACAGCACCTTCTCTTTAACCTTTTGCACATGAGACACCAGCATGTCTTTTTTGGACCCTGCATCTCCCCTTCCCCTGCATTCCCACGTGGAATAAAAGAACATTCTGTTTCCCCACTCTTCTCTTTCAGGCATTCTCTCCCTTCATCTTTCCATCCATGTAGGCAGTGCTTTACTTGGACCAGATACAGCCCTGGGCATATGAAGATGATTTGGTGGATGGGTTTTGCCCTTTTATTCGTAATACAGGGCTGGGATAAACAAGATCACATTAAACTGTAACCTAGTGGGGCAGGTAGTTAAGATGCAGGTTTCAGGAGATCACAAGATGGAGTGGCCTCTGCTCTGTTATTTCCCTTTTTTCCTGAAGAGCCCTTCGTTTTCTTTCCCCTTAGGCTATCATGTTCCACTTTCAACTTCTGTGTGATGTTCTTTCCTGTCACCGAAACTGGGACTTAATCACTCTTGAAGGCAGCCTTTGCCTCACAAGCTGTGACTAAAGTTCAGACATAAAACCCATCTCATGGGTTTCTCCCACTGCCTCCCACAGAGCAGAGGCCTCAGATCTACCAGCTGATGGAGAGTAAAGGAAGAACAGTCCCTGTGTGAGGCTGCTGGAGATGCTTCCCAGGATCCATTTATCATAGGATGAGCTCCTTGATACCAGTTCTGTGCTAGCTGGGGACAGGTGGAGCAAAAGGACTCTCCACCAGAGAGAAGTTTGTTACCAGGGAATGTCTGCAGCCCCTGGTGGGCAGTGAGCTGGCATACCTGGCCTGTGCTTAGTGAACTCACCACTCTGCAGAATCCAGCTATTAATGCTTGCCTTTCAACACCTCTTTTATTCCTGTGGGCCAGAAATCAGTTTTTTTAAATAGCCCTTCCCTATTGCACCCTCTGCCACCCTCCCTTTTTTTTTTAAATGTTTTGGTAGGAAGAGGACTCTCAGGTCATAATTTAGGACAGTTAAAAGGAAAGAGACCTAGAAAATGGGTCATTACAAATCTTGTCAGATGCAGAGTCTTAAGACCTGGTGTATGGACAGGTTTAATTACTGGGTTTGATACACGGAGAATGTCTTGAGGGGACCCAGGGTCTTGCACATGCTTCTTCCTGGCCCAGCACCCATTAAGACTACCAGAGCCTCCCATCAGTCAGTGAGAGTTCAGGGTAACGGCAGATACCTGCGTGGAGAGGATGTGGACCAGGGCTCTGTGAGGGAAGAGTCTTCTTTGAAAGAGCTCCTTGAGTGATTCTCTGTCCCCTCTGGCCCTCTCTTCTTGTCCCTCCCCCAGGAATTAAGTCATTGCTCTCATGGATGTACAAGTATGTAGGGTTCCAGAGTTCTCTTGCTAACCTCTGTGGGAAGAAGTTCAGATCTATGAAGTGCTTTCCCTTTGGATTTCCTCCCCCATTGCTTCTTTAGCTACTCTTTGTGTGACCAAACTCCTCCTTCCTACACAGGGGCCGCTCTCCTCAGCCTCCAGCTGAAGAAGATGAAGAGGAATTTGATGACACCCTTGTTGCCATTGACACATGTGAGTTTGGGTGCACCTTTCTGATCTGCCTTCCAGACCATGTAGGGAAATTATACTTTGACCTTTACCAAACTCCCTCCCTATCCGGCACCATCCAGGGCTAGAGTTAGTACTGGTGTAACCAACAGTGCAATTCTGGGCCAAAGGCCTTGATTTGGAGACAGATAAGCTACCAGCTCCAGCTGGACAAATCACACTTTCTTCAGGCCTCTCTTCAGGGAGGAGTGATCCTCCCTAACATTTCAGAGAGTCCAGAAAACTGAGAAAGGTATAAGAGCAGTTTGGAAAACCCTGAACTGCCTATACACACACGGGGTTACCCTGTAATCAGGAAGGGCATCTGAGTGCTAATCAGGAACCTGAACTCTGACGACCAGCTGCTCAGTTTCCATCAGCTGCTCACGTTCCTTCTGAAACCAATGCTGCTCTATCCTCTGAGCCCTCTGTTTCAGTTCCATTTTCTTGCCACCACATAAGAGGTTTTTACTTTGTCACGGGCTTGTTACGGGGACCCTGTTTTCCCCTTTAGCCTGAGTCAGACGCAGTAAAACCTGTGGAACTGAGTTTTGATTGTTTTTGTTTTCTTTTTTTAACATGTCCCAGAAGCAATCAGATCTGAGAACCCTGAACTGCCCAACAGAGCATAAACTTAACCAAAATTCATTCTTCTTTTTGCTTACATAGCTCATGTTCATAGGGCGCTGCTTTGAAAGAGAGAGAGGCATTTTGTACAGTTTCCCCTTCTCAAAAGAGGGAAAATGCTTCACAGAAAAGTAGACCTTTTTCAAGTGTCTTAATGGCAGTAGAACATGAGCAGTAGTTTATGAGACATCAGCTCTTAAGGGGCTCCTTGTGAGGTGATGGGAAGAAGATGTTTGCAGCAGAAGTCTTGGGCCCACGAGGGGTTGGGCCCTGTGCAGCTGAGTAGTGGTTCTGGGGTAGATATGCGTCAGGTATTGGCAGAGGAGTCTGGCACTGGGGAATGTTTGCATTGTAGGTCAGTGGTGATGAACCTCTTTTGTTCTCAAATTGGTAATAATTATGGACTCTGTGCATATAAATGTTCGTACTTGTAAATTTGTGCATGATTTCTAGGGGTCCCCTGAAGCCTGTTCTTGTATCTCTTAGCTAGGTGTATGACTCTAGTTCCTATGTGTAGTGGCTGCTTGATCCTGTGCAGGCCAATTTTTACTATTCCAGAACCGATGTACTCAAAGGGAAAATGGTTCCGTAAAAAGGGTGCAGTTAATTCCCCATGAGCCTTTCCCGTGATGTCTTAGACTCCTAGGGCCCTTTTTTCTTCCATTTGTCTAAGACCTCAGCCAACCAAGCTTTTTCTTCCACAGATAACTGCGACCTTCACTTTAAGGTAGCCCGAGACCGGAGTAGCGGCTATCCGCTCACAATTGAGGGATTTGCATACCTATGGTCAGGAGCCCGAGCCAGCTATGGGGTCAGAAGGGGTCGAGTGTGCTTTGAAATGAAGGTGAGTGAGAACACCACCAAGGAAGGAAAAGGTCCATCCACCAGAATAGCCTTTTCACTCACCACTTGGACAGCCAGAGCTGCAACAGATTTGTTTGAAGATAAACTTTGTGTCTTGGCAAATAAAAATGTATTTCTCATTATAGTTACATTGCTGATAATAAATAAAAAGCAAACAAACCATACAAGGCTTCAAACCATTGAATTTCCTTGGTCAGATTGGCCCAGGTAATAATTCAGCTAACCAATTTAGAGGTCATGTGTTTGATGAGAACTGAGAAACGGCATTGTCTAGAAGAAAAGGAAGCTAGAAAGAGTAGAGTGGCTTAGGCATCACCAATTACAGGGAAGCCAGCAGAAGGAGAACAGGCCAAAGGAAGATGGACCTGCCAGTTCAAGACATCCTCTACCATTATTCCTCCATGGTTTGCTAAAATTCACAGAAGAGTGTAAGGCATAAAAAGCAAAAGTTACGTGCAGTAGCCCTGAATAAGAAGTACATTGCAAAAAGGAAAGAGGATAGATGGAGTTAATAGTGCAACAACGAATGACGATTTTTTTAAGTGAACTGGGAGAGGGAAAAGGACAACTAATGAAACTTTAACTTATCTGTAAATTTCTGTTAAAATTATAATTACTCTAAAAATTTTTATATATTTAAAAGCAAAAGTTATTTTCGTATTGTGCTAGTCCCCGTCCTTCCTAGAAATGACTTGCATATTAGTATCTTCTGTATGTTTCCTTTATATAACCCCAAGTTATTTACCACTGTTAATATTTGTGGAGCGCATTTTGTAGGCACTGAATGTCATGCCAAGCTTTAATAACATTTTGTTAATCCTCACAATGCTGTCATAAATTAGGTACTACCACCCCTCTTTGTTCATTAGGGGAACTGAGAGATGATCCTATTTACTAAGACACCACCAATTTTAAATAGCATCCTGTTTTATGTGCCATTCATAGAGAAACACTGGAAACGTGTCTTAAAGTTGACTAAATGCAGTCATCTGGCAAAAGCTATCAGGCAATATGGGTAAATTAGGCAATCAGGAGACTTTTTTTAAGTACTTCTTATGGTTGTTTGTGCCAAGACATTGACTCTGCCTCTTTTTTTTTTTTTAATTTTTATTTTATTATTTTTGTGTGCGTGTACCATCAAATCAGATCTGACTGGTACAGGAGGAGATTGTCCCTCCTTCCCCGGCAGAGCATCTGGTGGATTTGAACCGTTTGCCTCTGGAATTGTAGTTGCAGCTCCTTGCCACTAGGCCACCAGAGCTCCCTTTGCCTCATTTTTTTTAACTGATATGTTATATTCTGTTGCATAAATGTATGTTAATTTAGCCAGTGCTTTTATCAATTGTATATGAAGACGTTCCCTTGAACATTTCACATACATATATTTGCATACTTCAGAATCCACCTGAGAGTGTAGGTGTGGGTGCATGTTTTGATGGAGATTGCTAGATTGCCCTTCAGAGGTATTACACTGCTTTGTCCTCCCACCAGCCATTTATAAAAACCCATATTCCCCCTGTACCAAGTCTTAAAAACAAAGAAAATATTTTTTTAATTCTTGTCTCAGTGGCCCTATGACCTGTGAGTTCCTTAAAGGCACCTCAGTGCAACCTATGTACTTATGACCTCTTCTCCAACAGCAAGGACTGCTTGTGGTGTGCTCTCCTCCTGCATTGCTTCATGTAACCTGTTAGTCACCAGACTTAACCCTGAGCCGTCGTGTCTTCTCTCTTCAGATCAATGAGGAAATTTCCGTGAAGCACCTTCCATCTACAGAGCCTGACCCACATGTTGTCCGTATTGGCTGGTCCCTGGACTCCTGCAGCACTCAGCTAGGTAAGGGAAGTTCTGCTGAGCAGACCAGAGAATTGTGCAGTTGCTTCTCCCCGGGATTCTCAGGGCTCCTCAGATTCTCTTCCCAGTGCTGGAGCAGAACCAGCATGGAGAATGATGGTCAGGTGTGTCCCACTGCCTGTTTTCAGGCAAACGTAGTTCAGCTGGAAGGTCCATAGTCATTTAACAGACTGATTAGGAAGAATTGGTTTTATCCATAAGTGTTAGGGGAAGGGTACTTTAGGAGACTGTTTCCAATCCAAAAGGATGAGTTGTCTCCTGTCCTCAAACCATACTGAAATAAATTTCTCAGATCCCATTAAGTTCTGTCAGGGATTCTAACCCAGAGTAAAAGATGATGTAGAGACCACTAGACTAGTGCGACAGATTGTGGGGGAGTCCATGGGCCTTGGAGAGAGATGTGAGTCTGCTTGTGAAGAGGGTCGGTTTGGTTGTGGGATTTTGTTTGTTTTGGGGGTGTTGGGGTTTTTTTTTTATTCTCTCAGGATCCCAGGCCTCAGTGACCTTCTGCCTTAACCATATTTTGATTAAGAAAATATGTACTCCTAAAGTAAAAAAAATTCAGGTCATACAGAAAGGGGAAATTTTAAGTTTCTCTTAAAACCTGCAACCCAGAGAGGACATAATCAATGTAAACATTTTCTTCCACTGTCTTCTGGACATATTTTAGTTTGTTTTTAAATATATATGTATATACACCCCCCACGATGCATACTATGGTTTTTGTTTTCTTTTCACTACCTAACATATAGTGAGCATGCGTTTGTAATTAAGTGTGACTTTTTAACTGCTGCATACTTTTCCGTTTTATAGCTATACCATGTATTTGACAAGTCGTGTTTAGTAGATCGTTTTGGTTGATTGCCATTTTTTACTGTTAAACACTTGAGCCACCATCCATGTGTGTAATATCTAATTGTTTACATAAGACTAATTTAAGAAAACAAAACGCTAGTTCTTAAAATTGGCATTACTAGGTCAGAAGGAGTACACTGTTTCCATTTTGATAAATACTAGCACTTTTTTACATTTAAGACTCAAGTATAATTTCATTTTATCAATGTCTCAGTTTTAGGAAGTAGGTCGTATAGTCCCATAGATGGGAATGCAAAGCTCAGAAAAGTCAAGCAGTGTGTCCACAGTCACACAGGTGGTTCTGAGCAGAACCAGGCCTGGGGTCCATGTGATAGGCTCCTGCATTTTTAGCAGGATGTTCCTTGGTTTCCTAACCAAAGATTTCTGCTTAACCAATTAGCCATTTATTTCCCTTGGAGTCTTAGACTGCTTCATCCCCTAATTGTAAAGCCTAGGTAAATTAGTTCCTTTGCCAGGGGTCAGTCCTCATGGTCTCCAGAAATAAAATCCAGTTCTTTTCTTAGTTTCCAAAGAACAGTCTGCTGTCACTAAAGATGTGTGGTTTTATTAGACTTGGCAAATATTGGGTGCCACAGAGAGGGCTTGCATCTTGACACACAGCTTTCCTCCACCCAAGCCTCCTCTTCCTGGCCTCCCTTTCTCTCCCAGGTCTTACTTTCTGTGTAGGACAGTTCTATTCGACTCCTGCTCTCAGAACAAACCCATCAAGCACTTGAGAGTTCTGCACAATAAAGGACTTCTTTTCCCACACCCCCGTCCCCAAGTGTCATCTGATTTTTTAAACTAGCAAAGAAAATGATTTTTTTTTCTTTGAAGTATGTGGCAGCCAGAGAGGCTGTTGTGACCATCGCAGGTTTAACCTGCCTTGTGACTGTTTCTTCCGTCAGGCGAAGAGCCTTTCTCCTATGGCTATGGCGGCACTGGGAAGAAATCCACCAATAGCCGGTTTGAAAACTACGGAGACAAGTTTGCAGAGAATGATGTGATTGGCTGCTTTGCGGTGAGTGCTGGCAGCCTGTGGGAGTTGACAGAACCTAATATTGGTCCTATCAGGTGTGGCCTGTGGGCCTCTTTTTCCAAAACCCACTGTCCTTTCCTTTGTCTTTCCCCAAATCCAGCTACTCCATTCTCTTTGGCTCTCTTTGACAGACAGGAATGTTTGCTTAGTCGTATTGTGCAAAATTCTGCCTAACTGCCCTCTCTGCTCTTTTGTGCGAAGCTATCATATGGCACCCTGAGGTGGTGTGGGTCATCAGGCATGCACAGCCTGCTTCCATTGCTCAATATCAGAATGATGTTTTCTAAACAAACCCAAGAAACTGTTTCTCTTTTTTTCTGATCCAGAATAACCTATCTGCTCTTGAAGAAGACAGCGATGTTGGCTTTGGTCCATATGGTTATCATCTCATCCCAGAACTTCCTCTTTCACCTCACACTGGTTAAGTGAGGCTTCCTGCAGCACATGGACTTCTGGGAGGTCAGGGGCAGGTGCACAACAGCAAGAACTGCTGCCTGGCTTCATCACCCGGGAGCAGTGACTTACATCCATAGCTCTGAGATCTGTGGTGGCTGCTCTGGAGCCAAAGCCCTTACATCCAGCCCCTGCTGTTCCGTTCAGCCCTGGGCAACTTAAAAACAGAAAATTATTGCTTTGGTGTAGATTTTAATTCGGGATGACCTATATGTTTCAGAGTAGAACTTTGCTTCAAAAAGATTTCAGTGGCTGTGGTCTTTTGGAAGTACAGCTTCAGGCCTTTCTTTCATGGTGTCTCTTAGGTAGTAACCAATCACACACTTATACCTGCTTGTGCTACCCAGACTGTCCTGGGCACCATAATGTCACTCTGTTAAAAAGATCTACTTTGTATCTACCTCTATTAAAAGCACTTAGAACAATACCTGGCACATAGTAAGTACTCTATAACTAAATGAAAGTAAGGGAGCTCTGGTGGCCTACTGGCAAGAAGCTGCACTGCAATCCTGAAAGCACTGGGTTCCAATCAATCAGATGCTCTCTTGGAGAAGGAAGGGCAGTCTCCTGTGCCAGTAGGATCCAAATGAATAGTACACAACAAGAAGGGGAAAAAAGTTGGCATTAGTATTGTCATGACAGATGTTTTTAAAATCTATGACTGTGCTCTGAGGTCCTAGGGAAGGATGTGACTGTCTAGACTCATACTTCTCCTTTTCCTTCTTTCCCTTCATTTGTATACCAAAAGAAAAAAAAGAATACCTGTTGTCATTATGTCTATTCTAACTCAGAGCAACCCTTTAGGACACAGTGTAACAGCACAGTGACGTTTCCAAGACTGTAACCTTTAAGGACACAGGCTACATCTTTGTCCTGTGTAACAGCTGGTGTGTTAAAACTACCAACCTTTCTGTTAGCTGCTGAGCTCTTAGACAACTGCTTACCCAGGGCTGTTTATAGTTGTACACCAAAACCCAGTCACTTGTTTTGAGTCAGTTTCAACTCTCAGCAGCCCTCAAGTTTCCAAGGCTATAAATCTTTACAGGAGGAAACATCCCATCTTCCTCCCCTGGACTCCAGTATTGATCTTCTGTTGAGCAGACCAACAAACATGTTAATACTCTACACCAATAGGGCTTCTGTTTAGATATGTGCATATAAATGGCCCCTACGCTTTTGTTCTATTTTTATTTTTAAATAATTTCAAACAGAAAAGCTGTATTAAAAATTGTTTTATTCAGTATGGATTGAAGCTCAACATCAAGAAAACAGATTCTCACCAATGGGCCAATTGGCAGCATCAGTATGGATGGTGAAGAGATTGAGATAGTTAACAGTTTTAGTTTACTTAGTTCCACAGTCGACACTCTCGGTAACAGCAGCCAGGAAATCAGGAGATGAATTGCATTGGGAAAGTCAGCTGTGAGGGACCTCTCAAGAGTACTGAAGAGCAACGATGTCAGGCTGGAGACTAAGGTGTGCCTGATCCAGGCTGTAGTCTTTGCAGTTACGTGCTATGCATCGGAGAGTTGGACAGTGAATAGGAATGATAGAAAGAGAATTGATGCCTTTGAGCTGTGGTGCTGGAGAAGAGTGTTGAATATACCATGGACTGCTAGGAGAACAAACAGGTTTGTCCTGGAGAGGGTGAAGCCAGAATGCTCCTTGGAGTCAAGAATTCTGAAGCTTTATCTGACATACTTTGGGCATGTTGCAAGGAGGGACTGGTCCTTGGAGAGGGACATCATGTTTGGGAGAGTGGAGGGATGGTGCAGAAGAGGAAGACCCTTGATGAGATGGATTGATTTTGTGAGTGGAGTGTGGGAATGAGTGTGTTTGAGACGGTGAGACGGCACAGGATAGAACGACGTTTAGGGCTCTTGTATATAGGGTCACTGTGAGTCCCAAGCGACTCGATGGCACATAACAACAACAACATAGACATCAGGTTCTAATATTTGCTTCTTTATTTGCTTTCATTGCTGTTTGCCCCATGACCTTTTTGAAAGTAGATAGCATAATGCATTTCCGTTTATTCTATACAATCTGTTCTGAAAGAACAAATCACAGTATAGTTATCCAGTTGACTAGATCTGTTCTCTGTCAACTCTACAGCCCACTTCCAAATGTTATCAGTTGTTTCTTTACCATCCTATCGAGAATTTTGGTTTTTAGTTCATACCACATTCTTTTCTCATATTTCCTTTAGTCTGAACTGTTGTGTTTTGAAATATATCTGTATATTGGTTTGCCTATAAATGCATATACATTGTGTTTCATTTATATACATTGTATTTCACATATTTCACATATTCCTTCATTCACATTGTGTTTATATGATCATTCCTATGCATTGTTTTATAAAATTAATCACCATTGATCTGTGCTTACTATTAATCTATCTTTTCTGGCCTTCATTTGGATCTTTCCTTCACCCTACCCTTCAGCCCTCTAAACTCTGCCATCCCTCTCTCCATTTTCCCCCTTGGACTTTTATACGCATCTTACTAGTTATCCTTCAGAACTAATTATCCTACTTAACAATTTAGTAATATCACATGCAAGGAAAATCTTGCTGACGATTATCCAAAATCTTCATTAACTTTTCATGATCCCTTTTAATTAAAAAAAAAAAATTTCTACTCGCCTCACTATATTTTTTCATTTTGATGGTAAATCTTGACCTTGTCAGCACGAATACTACATAGCTTTAAATCGGTTAGATTTTTTTTTTAACTGAATAATTGACTTTATTTTTACTACACAAAAACACTATGTGATGGCCACAGCTGGAGCCTGGGTCCTTTGCAAAGAGATTCTGATGTGGGTCTTTACAAGATGGTCAGTGAATTCCTGGTAGGGAGACTTGGTGAATACAGTCTCTGTCTAGATTTCTGGGGTAAAGTAGCTGTAGGTCTTGGAGATGGCATCAAAGGTGGCCTTGGCACAATTGCCCAAGGTGGCTATACAGCCCTTGGCTGAGGCATAGCAGTCATCTATTCCAGCCATCAGGAGCAGCTTCTTGGGCACAGAGTCCAAGACAATTCCAGTACCTTGGGATGCAGGGTTGAGGTGCACTAATACAAAGTTAGAGCACGCTGGCACCTTGCAGGGATTGGTATGAGGCTTGCCGATCTTGTTCCCCTAGTAGCCAGGTTGCACAGGGACAATGGAGAGCTTGGCCAGGGTAATGACCTCAGGATACTGCCACATATGTCCATAGCTTCCTCTCTAGAGCACTTGATGCCCAAGCCAACATAGCCATTGTATTCTCCAATGGCTACTAATGCCTTGAACCTGATCCACTGGCCAGCACACATCTGCTTCTGCACAGGCATAATTTTCAAGACCTCACCCTTGAGGGACATCCCCAGGAAGAAGTCAGTGATCTCAGACTCCTTGAAGGGCAGTGAGAAGAGAGAAATGTCCAAGGATTTGATTGTTACATCTTTGACCAGACAGCCAAGCTTGGTGAGCGAGCCACTCCTTGTCCTTGGCTTTGCCTCCTCGAGTTCCGCAGCCCCGTCCACGTCCGTGGCTTCACGTCCGTGGCTTGATCCCACAGATTGTTGCTGAAGCCTATGCAGAAACCTCCCATCCTGGGACTTCTAGGCCCTCCCACTGCACCAGTGTCATCCACCATTATTTGGTGTTTTCTAGAAAACGGAAAGTATATTTTTAACAATTAATTTGTATGGTTTCAAGAACAGTAAAAAAGATAGAATGAAACATCTGCTTTAGGTCCTTGGCCCAACCCATTTTTTACATATTCCCACTCTAAACCTGAGTCCACAGGTACTAGTTTCTAAGTGTTCCTTCCAGGGATTCTTCATCCCATTACAGAAAAACTGTTGTCTTCTGTTTATCCAAATTTATCCAAAAAGTAGCATAGGGTAGCTACTGTCCTGTAACTTTTTAGTGTAACTGTGTATCTTGCAGATCTGTGTCAATACCTCTACTACATAGGTCTGTCTTGTTATTTTACATACTGCTTAATCATTGTTTGGATGTGCCTAATGTATGTAACCATTTCTGGTACTGCACATTTCCTGTCTTATTTAGTGGGTTCCTAGTTTTCTTACTTAAACATCAGTGCACACCTTTACTGAATTCAGCCAGTCCTCCAGTGGGGGTGGGTGGGTGGTGGTAACCTTTTTCTTTCTCCTTTTTTTTTTAAACCAACAATATTTCTGTCCTAGCTTATCTTTTTCCTTTTTCCTACTTTATAGAGGACCTTGGAGTTCTTTACCTTTCCGCACATGAATATTCAGGGTGTCACTCATTGCTCTTGCTCATTTAGCAATGTAGGATTAAGTGTTTTACACATGGTCTGTCTTTGCATTTTTTTAATTGACATTTTAATGAAAGTTTATAAAGAATTAGGGTTTCCAGTCCTTCATTGTTGTCTTTGCTCTTTTAAAGGAACATAACTAGTGTTTGTTCCTACTGTATCATTTTGGAGTCACATATGTCTTTTTGGTTTGGTTTGATTTTGCTATTAAGTTGATTTCCATTCATGGTGATCCCTGCACATGTTTCAACCTAAAACTGTGCTCCACTAGGTTTGGTTTTGGTTTTGTGGGGTTTGTGGTGTGTGGTTGGGTGTTTTGTTTTTTTTCTCCTCCTCTAAGTATTTTACTGTGTGTTCAGTGGAGGTGTAAAAATTTATATAGCTGTCTAGGTTTCCATTCACTAATCTCTATATAAGTTGCTCAGTGGCATTGATTACATTCTTCACAACCTGTGAACATACCCTTCCCATTCTGGTTATTCTTTTTCCATTCATTTGGCTTCCCAACCCTACTGTCTCAGTTTATTTAAAGTAATGGTTGATTTTTTTTGTTAGATTTTTTTAACTTTATTAATTTTAATGAACATTTACAGAGATTTTGGATTTCCATTCATTCATTGTTGCACTAAGGAATGTAGTTCTTAAACAGTGGTACACATTTTTAGTGTATTTTAAAATTTTGATAGTTGTTGACAAGATGGCTCCAAAGATGCTTTAGCAATTTAAATTGGCATTTGACTGTTTTTCCAAACTGTCTTCCATCTACACTTGAGTTTCTGTGGGTTTGTGGTGGTTTGAACTCTCAGCTTTGCCTCCTGTTTTAAACATATCATCTCTACTTTTTATTTTTTAAGAACCACAAATCTTTGCCTTTGTTTAAAGGGTGTTACAACTTGCGAAGTCTCACATTGAGGTCTAGGAAGTATAAAAATCAGTCACCTGAGGGCCAGAGGAGAGATGTTTGTGTCAATCTTAAACTCTCAACACTCACAAAATAAAAGAGACAGAACTACCTTGCAGGAAGGAAGAACGGTATAATCCATTCAGTATAATCCTGGGAGCCTAAGGACTGACCATAAGGAGGTGTAAGAGATGAAGCTACCGGGAGAACAGACCAGTGCCAGGCTGTGGTGCCCTCCGACTGATGTCAGGCATAAGGGGCTTCGGTCCTCTTTAGGCCCCAGACTAGCTCAGGGGTATGGAGTTGGAGCAACACGGCTCCAGCCACCGCTTCATTGGCTCTGTTGGTGGTGAGTTTGTTCCTTGATGGCGTCGGTCTGTTTGTAGTATATTAAGATTGTATATTTAAAAGGAGATTGATAACCATGACTTTCACCGCCATATTAAGGCAGAGATGACACAGACCACTCAGGTGGGAGGACATGGCAAGGGACTGAAACAGTTTGGTCTGGCAGGTATCAACGTGTCTGTCATTCCTAGTAGTATTGGTAGTAATGAGCAGATAGAGGGACTGATACAGCCTGAGGGAAGGTGTGCCCAATACTTCTAGAAAGACAAGACTCAGATTTCCCAGTTAAAGAATTCCACATCATACATATTTAGGTCAGCAATCTGTCATATCCTTTACTTTAGGTCACTGTCTGATCCCGTGTTTTGATTATCCCTCTACCTAACAGTCAAAATAAACTCCCAGAAAAAATTTTCATCAGACAACTTCTTTGTTCAAAACAAGTCAGGAATTGTGCTCCATCACTTGCGCCAAGTCCAGACTTCTCATGTGGCCTCATAAAGCTAGTCCTTTACACACTGAGGACAAGGACACTGGTTCCCCTGAGCTACTTCCACTACAGCCCCTGCACCCTAACACAAGGCCTGGCAACTCAGAATGACATTAAGTTGCAGGGTGTCAATTCCAACTCATAATGACCCCCTGTGATAAGTAGAGCTGCCCCAATAGGGTTTCCTAGGCTCTACTCTTCATGGGAGCAAATGGTTGGATGGGTTTTAATTGTAGGCCTTAGTTAACAGCTAAGCACCTAACTGTTATGCCATCAGGTCTAATCCTTAGCACAACCCTATGCACTATAAATGTTATCATCCCCTCTTTTATGAGGAGATGAAAGATGAAATTGTCCAAGGCCACAGAGCTGGTAAGTGGAAGCAGTTGCCCTCTCCAAATAGGATCTTAATCACTAAACTGAAGCTGCCTAGTAGGACTTAAAAAACTATTGAATGTATACAACCCTTTCCTACCTCTCCAACTCTGAGATTACAGTCCTTCCACCTCTCACCCTTCATGCTTCAATCAGTCTGACCCTGTGTACTCTCACCTCCAGGATTGTACCCATCTTTATAAAGAAAACTTTTCTCCCACCTAAACATGGCTGGTTTCCTTTTTTTGTGTGTAGAACTTAGCTTAGGGCTTTCCATTCAAGAAAGTTGCTGTGTAAGCGGAGTGTCTTGTCTTGATTCCTTACTGCTCCCTGAATGCTTATATCAGGCCCAGATCAGCACAGACTTAGGCACTAGGAACCGGGAGAATAAAAACCTAGGGAACATTTGCAGAACTGCGCTCAGGATTTTGAAGACCTTTAAGTGGCTTCCCTTACAGCTGTTACCTCACAAATATCACTGGCCAGTTCTGAGGACAGGCCAGGTTTATCCTTTCATCTTTATTTCAGACACAAATACTTGGAGCTTCTGAAAGTTACTCATTCTACAGCCACTTTTCCTGAGTCACCAGCTTATAGGTCACAGGCAAAGCAGGCTTTGAACTGGACATACTCTGAGCTATCCCCTACTGCTACCAGCCCATCTGCAGAATGAGGAGACATGCACTTAAGTCAGTCATCTGTATGTCCACCCCCTGCATCCCCTCTCTTCCATTGCCCATGCCAAGCATTGGCAATTACCTTCCTCTCTTGTCATAGGACTTTGAATGTGGGAATGATGTGGAACTTTCCTTTACCAAGAACGGAAAGTGGATGGGCATTGCCTTCCGAATCCAGAAGGAAGCTTTGGGAGGCCAACCCCTCTACCCTCATGTCCTGGTGAAGAATTGCGCAGTGGAGTTTAACTTTGGCCAGAGAGCAGAACCCTACTGTTCCGTCCTCCCAGGCTTCACCTTCATCCAGCACCTTCCCCTTGGTGAGCGGATCCGGGGCACTGTTGGACCAAAGAGCAAGGCAGAATGTGAGGTGAGTGGTACTAGTTAACAGGTTCCTCTGAGAGAGAGATGGGAAGCGTTGCTGAAGCTTAGGCCAAGGAGGAAGGGGTGAGGTGCCTGAGTCTTTCATTCCAGAAGAAGGTAGTCATGCTGTTCCTTCATGAGGCTTTGAACAAGAAAAGAGTCAAAAGCACATGCTTAAGAGCATGCTTTGCCAGCCATTGTTTTCAAAGAAGATTGTGTGGTTCTGCCTCCCCACCAGCCCACCCTCAAGGCTATCTAAAAGTAAAAAGAAAACTAACCTGTGCAGTGGTGATTGGGCTTCAGGAACTGTATTAATGACCCTTTTTCTTAAGATAATGTATTCCTAATGTAGCAGTAATTTCTGTTTTATAGATATGAAGAAAATGAACTTTTTTTTATAATTTTACCATTTGCAGTTAAGCTTATTTTCAGAGTTTTAGAATTTATCCCTATACTTAGCTTCAACTCGACGGCACATAACAGCAACAACAACATATTTGGCTTCACATGAATGTGTGTGCATGCACACGCATTTATAGTTGAGATCTTATGATCGAAGCCTTCTAAAATCTTGTCCTTTCACTTATATGACATCATAGCTGTAGTCCTCATGTGAAAACAACTTCTTGAATGTCATTTGTAATGGCCTCCCATAAGGTCAGCCATTCCTTTGTTGGGCATCTAAGGGTGGGTGTAGGGAGCTTTCGTGGCTTAGTGGTAAGGAATTGTACTGCCAAACCAAAGGCATTCAGTTCGAATCCACCAGCTGCTCCACGGGACAGATAGACAGTCTCCTGTGTGTGTGATTTACTTCTGTCTTAATAGTACCTAACAACAGCATAATGTCTCCTGGTTCTAATTGAACTTGCTAGGTATATGCCTGCTCCCATGCCTATGACTCTGCTTTAAAAAAAGGGTACAGTCCTCATTCTCCTCCCAGAGTGGGCAGGCACCAATGCGTAGCCTTCTCTGGTCCTTTTTCCTTGGAGAACACTTAATTCTGAACTACATAAAGCTTCAAAATGATTCAGTCATGTCCAATGCATTGATTGCATTGAAACAAAATCACTTAGGGAATTTTTATGCCAATGGAAGACAGGAGGCGGTGCATCTCCAAAAGATTTGAATGTGCATCAAGCACCTTAATCCAGTTCATTGGCATAAGCTCCAGGGGCTGTAACTGAACTGGTTCACAGCCCTAGAACTGAGATTTGAATGCAAACAATGATTTGATTGCATACTCGCTCATGCTAGGCCTTCTGTTAAGCCTCATCTCTTTGTTTCCCAACAACAATACCTTGAGATAGATGCTATTCTTCCGTTTTCCAGAGGCAGCCATGAGGAACAGGGTCATCCTCATGGTCACCACTGAGTCTGGTGGTGCCAGGCCGGGTCACCATGCCACACCACCTCTACTGCTTCATAGCACCCCTTCCTGGCCTGTTGTTGTAGATTCTGATGATGGTAGGCCTGCCTGCTGCTGGCAAGACCACATGGGCCATCAAACATGCTGCCTCCAACCCCTCCAAGAAGTACAACATCCTGGGTACCAATGCCATCATGGATAAGATGCGGGTAAGAATAATCTTTTTTTTCCCTACCATACCACCCCATACTTCCTCCAAATGCCCCAGTCCTGCCCAGTGTCAGGACCACCCATCCTTTAGTCCCTTCTGTCCACAGGTGATGGGCCTGCGCCGGCAGCGAAACTATGCTGGCCGATGGGACGTATTGATCCAGCAAGCCACCCAGTGCCTCAACCGCCTCATCCAGATCGCAGCCCGCAAGAAACGCAACTATATTCTAGATCAGGTACGTGTGGCCTTCGTATCCTCCTAACAAGGAGAGGTGATGAAGGAGCTTTGTTAACTCTCTGGGGATCCCCTTAGGTCCCTTTTCCCCCCCATAATGCTCTCTGACTCAGGGAATCCAGCCTAAGTAATCTACATGATACAGTTCCAGACCCTCAGCATAGCCCCCTCACCCCAGTTTGTGGGTGGGACTTGGGGCCCACAGCCCAGGCCAAGCTCAGGCTCACCATCAAGCAGCCCCAAAGAGTATCACCAGAGCCTTATAGAAAAATAGAAGAGCAATCACTTAGGAACTCTTCTGAACTAGACAGACCTGAGCTTGAGCACCTTATGTTTTTTTCCCCTTACCATAGACAACTGACTTTACCCTCTAAACTATAGTCTCCTACTCTGTAAAATGGAGGTCATAATAGCACCCACATTCCTAGTTCAAGATCTGCAGCAGTGGCTATTAATTATTCTTCCGCAGTAGGTGTGACCTCAGCTTCTCGTAGCATGTATTTGTGACTAACATGTGTTCCCTGCCTGTAGTTCAGTTGAGAGTGGGGCTTCTTCCCATCTGGGAATCTGGATCTCTGACTTGAAATAATGAGTTCCACATGTCTACTGCCTGGGTGACGTCATACTTAACTTTTCTTCTGAAAATTACTTTCTCAAGTGCCAAAGGATTTTTTCCCCTTGCATTTTGGCATCTGCAAATTAAGCTTCTTTCCCCCTCAGCCTTGCCAATTGTGTTTTTTTTTGTGTGTGTGTACCATCAAATCAGATCTGACTGGTACAGGAGGAGATTGTCCCTCCTTCCCCGGCAGAACATCTGATGGATTCGAACCGTGCACCTCTGGGATTGCAGTGCACCTTCTTGCCACTAGGCCACCAGAGCTCCCTCTGTGTTGTATCTTTTAAGAACCTAGAAGTAAGAAATAGGTAAAATAAGTAACAGTACTTCACTTACACAGCCTGACTCAAGTGTCTTTCATATTTGTAACTCTGGATGCTCACTTGGCTATCATGAGTTTTAAGAAGCATCCTGGTCCTGGTCAGGATAACCTAATAATAGTGGTTATGGTAGGAGGGACTCTAGCTTAACAGAGTAACCCCCTTGGCAGAGAACTTAGCATCCTATACGAACAGTTGAGTACTAGAATCAAAAAGCTTTCCTGGACTTTAGGTTATCCCCCTAGCTCATCTGTCAGTAATTTAGAATAGATTTCTCTTTCTACATAAAGACCTGTTTGCTCTTAATCTTTTAACCCCTGACCTCACCTTAACAAAGCGATTTTAGTCTGAGTTAGCCCCAGCTGGACTCATTGTCCTGAAGGTTAAAGCAGTGATGTTTAGCATCTGGAGAATATTTACTTTTATATATACCTTGATGGGTATTCCTAACTGGCTTCTTCCTCTCTTCCCCATGGGTCCTTCTCCCTCCTCCTCTTCCAATCTTCAGTTCTAATCAGTGGCCCCTTGGTTTAGAGTGGAGATCTCCGCTCGGAACGCCAAAGCACATGAGTTTTCTCTGAGGTTAGTACCTCAGCCAGGCACTTAACAATGAGGCTCTGTTAGCTCACCTGAAGTGACTGGTCCAGGTCCAGAGTAATGCCACAAATGCATTTCTTCTGGTAAACAAAATGATCCAGGCCAGGACTAAGATGAAGACAAACCAAACCTGTAAAGATGGGAGAGCAGAGTTCTCTGATAAACCACACGGAGGACTAAGTTGGATTCAGAAGCTGTTGATTGGTTGCTCGGTCCTGGGGAGAGATTTTCAAGCCAATAATTTTACTTCTTTTGACTTAAGTATCAAAGGTAGATTCCAGAAAATTCTGGTTATTTGAGTTTAATGTACACACTCAAATGTGGGAATACGTAGGTTGAAGGTTCAAAGATGGGGTGGGGTGTAGGTAAGTAGAAGGTTCAGAACAGATCTGCGCAGTTTCCTATACTTTCTGAACCTCCGTCTTGTTAGTTGATGCTTGGCTGTCTCCTGACATAGACAAAGTCTCAAGGCAGTGTTTGCCTTTCTCTGGTTTTCCAGATCAGCTAAATTTTCCCACACTTGACTTTTGTATGCCCCTGTTATAGACAGGTATATAAAGAGTGTAGGCAGTATAGGGATGCCGAGTCTGACCTCTCCTACTTTCACTAAGGGGAACTGTCCACAGCAACAACAGCTACAGTACAAGACTAATTCCCCTAATGTCCCATGCTCCTATACCTGATTCCAACACTAGGCTTACTGCTCTACTGGATCCAGAATTCATTTTAGTGACCACACAGACTTCACAGAACCATACTCAAAGTTAAGGGATTTACTGGAGAATTTAACAGGCCGTATAATTTAGGTTGGCAGCAGGATGTAATCCCTCAGTTCAGACAGTTTCTCAAGTGTGATTATATGTCCTTTGACCTTCAGCCTCACAGCTTAAGTCAGTGTTACAGTGTTCTTTAGTCCTGCAAGTTATGATGTTTTCCCTCAGTCCTTCGGCAAGTTTGGGTGAAGGCCTCTGGTTTTTGCTTTGTGAGGCCGCGGTCCCAGGTCAGCTGTATCTCATGTCAGTCTCTTTTTCTCTGTTGAGGCTACTGTTGCTCTTGTATAGATCCTGATCTGGCTGGTACAGACATCTGTGGCCTCAGAGGACTCCCACTGCTTCTTTATTGGTATTGAGATGCCCAATTTCTTCAGCTGAATTCACTCAGTTTAATGGCAAGACTAGCAAATCCCCTTGCGGATAGACAAATACATCCTGTTCAAATGTTCCCACTCAGCCATGTGGCAAAGTCAGTCTGTCAGTGGCTAAGAAAGCCATTTTGAACAGTACATGCTTGACACAACAGCAGGCCTTAGAAAGGTACATCCTTGAGAAGAAAGGAAAATTTGCACACAGAAACCAGACATGGTTATGTGAGCTATGGGTTCTGGCTGTGTTGGGACCTCCAGCTCTTCTCCCAAGGGTATGTTTCTTTGGGTGCAAGTTCAAGTGTGTTAGGACTTTGACCTAAACTTCAAAAGTAGCTGGGACAGGATGTCGACAGAACATGCCGGAAGATCAAGCTGGATTTACAGGAGACTGTGGCACCAGGGATATCATCATTGATGTCAGATGGATCTTGGCTAAACATCCATCCACAAGGATGTTTGTTTCTGCCTTATTGACTATGTAAAGGCATTTGACCTTGTGAAATTAATGGTTAACTGAGAAGAAGGGAACCTCAGAGCACTTAATGGTGCTAATAATGCAAAACTTGTACTTGGACCAAGAAACTGTCTTCCAAACAGAGCAAGGGAATACTGTGTTTAAAATTAAGAAAGGTGTGCATCCTTTCTCCAAACCTACTCAATCCTTCAAGAGACTGAATTTTATGAAGACGACCATGGCAACATGATTGTTATCAAAGACTACAGCCTTCAATATGGATTACATCTCAACAACAACAACAACAAAAAAACACCAAAAAACCCAACCAGCAACCCAATCTTTACCACTAGGCCAGTAGGCAACATCATGTTAGAGATGATTGATGTTGTCAGTGGTTTAATTTTAACTAAATTTACAGTCAGCACCCATGGTGACATCAATCAGGAAATCAGATGACCTCCACACCCAAGACTACCTCTGCAGCTTCTTCCTGAAAAGCCAGCTCTTACCTACTGGCCCATGTTGCTGGGGATGGGAGTGGTTTCAAGATGAGGGAGCCCAGTCCTTTGAGTGCACATCTTGACGCAGGTTGGGATGCAGAGAGGCTGGAGTTAGCCACTGGAGCCCACACAGCTGGAACAGCTGGCCTAGCTGTTGTGCTGGTCTCCTAGTAACAGCTACTGGCAGACCTCGGTGACCACAGCAGTGCTGGGCCCTGGGCCACCTGGGGCTCTGACCTCACTGTTTGCTGTGGCAACAACCACTGGAAGCTAGCTTCCTACATTGATTATCTAGTGCCCTCAAGTGGTTGGCTTTAACAGATGTCAGTACTGGTTCCTGGGGGAGGCTTTCTCTATCAACTTTGGAGAAAGGTCCTTGTCTTCAGGTTCTGCTTCCTGGTTATTCAGAGCTCTCCATGTGGCTTGGCATCAAAAGACTTTTTTTTTTTCAAAGAACATTATTTAAATCTACACTACAAATAAAGATTTTTTTTTTAAAGGTACACTGATTCTGTCCTATTAAAATAGCAAAAACAACACATTCCCAAATTAGATTATATCCAGGGGACTCAAAATTAGGATTTACAACTTGTTTGGGAAAACAATCCAGTCCATAACACTACCTTTCCCTCCAGTGTTTGCCTTTTTGCCGGGGCATGTTTGTATGCTTTTTTTCCTCTTCCCAAAGCTAGTTAAGTAAGAGAAGAAAAGTAGAACTTTGAGCATCATCACCAAGAATAATAGCAGTACTGCACTGCCAGAGCATCTGAGGAACTGGCCCCCTAGATTGTGTTATTTCTCCTCTGCCCCACTCAGGACAGTGATGAGCAGATCCACATAAAACCCTTGTGTTCAGAAGAACCCAAAGAGAGTCACTTTGGCGCAGGCAAACCAAGTTCAGTGAGTTGTCATTTGTTATCAGTGGGCATACCTGCCCTTGCACCTGCCCACTTTGGCTTTCATTCGAGAAGAATATCTGAAGGAAGCTATTCTGTCTTCTGTGACCAGAGGCCACCAGGTTTGCTCTTCTGAATGATGTCAAAGAACAGTGAGTGGAATTTGGGGCTTTTTCTGTGTCATCTGATAAGGTTTTTTTTTTAAGCTGTACCTGAGGGAGAAGCCTTTGCCTGTGCTCATAGCCCCCGTGACAGTACATGGTGCCCACCACACATAACCTGCACCCTCCTGCTCCTTCCACTCTCCTTGGAGAATAGAAAGACTATCTTTTTGGGGTAGGGGGCCCCGCTCAGGTCATGCCCACAGGCTGCGTCCCTGCAGGCTTGCACTGACATCAGTGGCCTGGTTAAGCCAGCACCCAGCTTCCTTTTCCTTGGGTCTTGTTCTCTTCTACTAATTGAGGTTTCGATTAGGAAATCCACTCCTGAGAATGGTGTCAGTACTGTTGTTCTAGTTCTGACAGCCACCCTCTCTCTATGTTGAATTGTTTTTCCTGCTATGTGTCAAAGATTATCATATCTGTAAATCCTTGACAGAGCCACAGGTAGGGATGATAGGATTTCTGCTTTTCAGTTGAAAAAAGTGTGAGATGCAGACAACTAGGTTTCTTGACTGGTCTCAAAAACTATGCAGAACACATCTGGGATTTCAGTCATTCCTCAAAGCCTGTGTCCTTCCTACCCTACCACTGTCCCCGCCTTTCTAGTTGAGAGACTGCTTGCTTCAAGTCAGCGTTACAGTCTGAATGTCCAGTCCCCACTCTATGACAGTTCTTTCAGTGATGGCTCATGTCTCTTGAGTGTTGGCTGCAAACCAGGCACTGGTCCACACCAGTTTACTCACTTGAGTTCATTCTGTTTTTACTATGACATCCTCCCTACTGTCCCTTCTCATGTCTTGAAATTTGATAAATATAGTAAGTTGATTTCACTGAAAGAGTTATGGGGGAGGTCCCTTACCTGGGGCCACACAGGTGAAATGGGGAGAGCCCAGCTGTTCAGTGCATGGCCTATTCCCTACCTCCAGGAGACTCTGGCTACTACACAGCCTCCCTCCCTCTAAGTCGTTCTTCAGCTTTATGCTTAACTTCACGTCAGTCCTTAAAAGCCCCAGGAAGTGTTTCATCCCCATTTACACATAAAGCTGTAGAGACTGGCCCTAAGTGAATCAGTGACCAAAACAAGACCTAATTCTGTGCTCTTTCCATCCTACCAAATTCTCTTCAGAACAAAAAATATTTGTCTTTTGCCCTGTGTGTGTTTGCATGCCTCCTTATGGATAGTTTTTTTTTCCCTTGAGTCCCTGAAATTAACATGAGCAAGGTTGTGTTACCTGCACAGTTCATGTTGTTGTGAGTCTTCCTCCAATCCTAATGCCTCATTCTTTTTTTATTATGCATAAATTCCAGGTTCTCGAATGGTTTGCTCAGGATTCACATTGAATAAATAAGGATACAATCATGTCCTGATTGTTTTTAAAAAAAACTTAATTTTTTTTCTCTCTTACACCAAAACCACTATTAAACAGCTGGAGCCTTGGGTCCCCTGCATGGAGATAATGGTGTGGGTCTTTACAAAATGGTCACTGAATTCCTGATAGGGACATTTGGTAAACATAGTCTATCTTTCCAGAGGTGTGGGGTCAGGTAGCTTTAGGTCTGGAAGAATGCATCAAAAGTGGCCTTGGCGAAGTTGCCCAGGGTGGCTGTGTAGCCTGTGGCTGAGGTATGTTGTAGTTCTTGTTATTTGCCCTCGAGTCACCTGTGACTCATAGCAACCCTATATACAACAGCCCTAAACCCTGCTCTACTCTTTGCCAATCTTACTGTCTCTGACACACCTATCCCCATTACCCCAGTGACTGAATCAATTCATCTCATCAAGGGTCTTCCTTTCCTGCACTGTCCCTCTAGCCTCCCAAGCATGACATCCTTCTCCAAGGACTGATCCCACCTTGCAACATGTCCAAAGTATGTCAGACAAAGCTTCAGAATCCTTAACTCCAAGGAGCAGTCTGGCTTCACCCTCTCCAGGACGAACTTGTTTGTTCTCCCAGCAGTCCATGGTGTATTCAGTACTCTTCTCCAGCACCACAGCTCACAGGCATATACTCTCCTTCTATCCTCCCTAGTCATTGTCCAGCTCTCTGATGCATAGCAAGTGATTGCAAAGACCATGGCCTATATCAGGGACACCTTAGTTTCCAGACTGACTTCGTTGCTCTTCAGTACTTTGGAGACGTCTCTTGACAGCAGACTTCCACAATGCAATTTGTCTTTTAATTTCCTGGTTGCTGGTAGTAAGAATGTTGATTGTAGAGCCAAGCAAACTGAAACTGTCAACAATCTCAGTCTCTTCACTGTCTATCATGATACTTGCTGCCAGTCAGCCCAGTGGTGAGAATCTTTGTTTCTTTGTTTTCTTGATGTTGAGCTTCAATCCGTATTGAAGGCTGCAGTCCTTGACCCTCTGCAGCAAGTGCTTCAGGTCTTTCTCAGTTTCAGCCAGCAGGGCTGTGTCATCTGCATAATACAGATTGTTGATGAGTCTACCTCTAATCAATATTACATGTGAGCAAGATTGTGCCGACAATTATCCAAAAATGACTGGAACAGCAATGAAGTGCAGGCTGGATTTAGAAGAGGCCGTGGCACTAGGTATTATAGCTAATGTCAGCTGGATCTTGGCTGAAAGCAGAGTACCAGAGGAATGTCTTATCTGTGTCTCACTGACTATGCAAAGGAATTTTGACTGTGGATCACAACAAAAACTGTAGCTGACTCTGAGAAGAGTGGGTGGGAATCCCAGAACAGTTGACTGTGCTTAAGAGAAACCTATATTTGGACCAGGAGGCTATTGTCAGAACAGAGCAAGCAAACACTTCATGGTTCAAAATTGGGAAAGATATGTGTCAAGGATGTGTCCTATCTCCATATCTTTTCAATCTGTAGGCAGAACAGATTATCCGGGAGGCTGAGCTCTGTGAAAAGAAGTGTAGCGTCAGGATGGCTGAGGTACAGCAGTCATCAATTCCAGCCAGCAGCAGCAGCTTCTTGGGCATAGGGGCCAAGATGATTCCAGTGCAGGAATGAGGTGCACCAGCATAGAGCAATAGTGCCTGGTCACCTTGCAAGGAACTGTGTTAAGCTTGCCAATCTTCCCCCAGTAGCCATGCTGCCCAGAGACAGTGTAGAGAGATGCCAAGCTATGGTAACAAATGACTTGAACCAGCTCTGCTGGCTAATACATATCTGTTTCTGCACAGACATGATTTTCAAGACCTCGTCTTTTCAGGGACATCCGCAGGAAGAAGTAACTGATCTTGAACTCCTTGTTTGGTAGTGAAAAGAGAGAGCTCTTCTCCAAGGACTTAACCATCATATCTTGACCAGACAGGCCAGCTTGGAGACAGGGAGTCACTCTTTGTTCTTGATTTTGCCCCTTCAAGCTCCACAGCCCTGTTAACGAAATCCTTTTCATTGAACTGCAGCAGGAGGAAGCACACAAGCTGGTGAGATAGTATGAGGGCCAGGCTGCTCCCTGAAAAGTAGTACTTCAGCAGCCCAGAGCCCCCTTGTGGCAACTGAGGTAGAGGCATCCCATGTTAAAATTCCCATAGATTTAGCTAGACATAGACATATGCAATTCAGTACAAGTCTGCAATCATGATTTCCTTGTCCCAGTGCTTGATGGCAGTACCCTTTCTGATCAAGAACTCAAAAATCTTAGAAGTGAAGAAAGGGGCTTTCCTGAGTTTCTTTGCTTTGAAGGAGAACCAGTATCTTTGTCATTCCTTGACTTACCTAGCCCCTCTCAAAAGGGAGAAGAAACCTATTTGTAATATAACATCTCTCTTACATCTTCTCTTACCTACCTCTAGACAAATGTTTATGGGTCTGCCCAGAGACGAAAAATGAGACCATTTGAAGGCTTCCAGCGTAAAGCTATTGTCATTTGTCCCACCGACGAGGACCTGAAGGACCGAACAATAAAGCGAACGGATGAGGAAGGAAAGGATGTCCCTGATCATGCTGTGTTAGAAATGAAAGGTAGGAGACAGTGAGTCCAGGAGGGCAGCACCAAGATTTTTGAGGAGACTCCTTTCACTGGTGTTCCTACTCAGCTCCTTAATCTTTCCTCCTTGGAACTTCCTCTTTAATTGCTTCTGCTTTGTCCCATCACTCTTTGTCCGCTAGAACTGCGGATAGACGTTACCCATATCTCATGACTAGATGCTAGGATAACGAATAAAAGTTGCAAGACCTAGAGGGAGCTCTGGTGGCCTAGTGGCAAGAAGCTGTACTGCAATCCCAGATGTGCCTGGTTCGAATCCACCAGATGCTCTGCTGGAGAAGGAGGGACAATCTCCTCCTGTACCAGTCAGATCTGATTTGACGGTACAATGCACAAAAAATAATAAAATTTTAAAAAAAAAGTTGCAAGACCTATACTATACGGTCGGCTACCTGAGGAGGCTGACTCAGCCTGATGGAAAAATCAGGGTGGAGGTTCCACTTTCCAGAGCTATCCTTCAAGTGCTACTGGAAGGAGATGGGCACAGTGGTTTGGGGCTTAGTTGTCTCTCAGAGATGAGAGAGAAGCCCTGGCAGTTGTTAGAGCAGCTGAGGGTTTCGAACCATATATCTCTTTCTTGTTCACCTTCCCCTTTCTGGCTTGTCTGCCAGGTGAGAGGCTTCCAAAGGTACTGACTCTTTTCCTTGACCCCTCTTCCTAGCCAACTTCACGTTGCCAGACGTAGGGGACTTCCTGGATGAGGTCCTGTTCATTGAGCTGCAGCGTGAGGAAGCAGACAAGCTGGTGAGGCAGTACAACGAAGAAGGACGCAAGGCCGGGCCACCCCCTGAAAAGCGGTTTGACAACCGTGGTGGTGGTTTCCGGGGCAGGGGAGGTGGAGGCGGTTTCCAGCGCTACGACAACCGAGGGCCCCCTGGTGGCAACCGAGGAGGCTTTCAGAACCGAGGTGGTGGTGGCGGTGGAGGCGGCAACTACCGAGGAGGTGAGGCAGCCACCATAGCGTCTCCTGGCTTTTGTCCCCAAGACAGTGCTGGGCTCCCTGGCTGCACCTGAGTTCTCTGGGCCTTCGGGAAACTTGCTGTCCTACTTCCCAGGGCACTGTGTGTCAGGAGTTCAGTCACATTACCATTGTATCTGTGAAAGTTCTTTGGGAAGTAGGGACCAATCTGGCACCAGGTAAATGCTAGGATATTTTTGTCTTTAACACAAATAGAGGGATTACTTTGCTCTAACTCCAAGTCACTAGTTGTGCTGTCTTTGAAGTCAAGTGTTCATAATTGAACAAACCTGTCTAGCTTTGCTACATTCTTGTGCTAAGAATCTGGGAATGCAGCCATGGCCTTGACATCACCCTACAGAGACAGTCCTTGGGCCTGTGAGCATCGGTGACACCCAACCCTGTGTCTCAGGGTAGCTGGGCTCAGGGAAGGCTGCCTAAGGTGCTGATGTCTAAGCTAAGGTCCAGAGGCACAGTAGGACTTGATCAGGAGGGGAGAGGGTTCTGGGACACACAAACCACTGCATAGATGTTCAGGCATGGTCAATGGGGCTATGGCTGAAGAGAATCAGTTATGAGTTACCCATGGCTGTCCCCAGTGCTTAGCATCCCTCTTCCTTGATCTCTTTGGTTTGCTTAGTGGCCAGCAAGATACTAAGCACACCACAGGACCGGACTGTTCTGGTCTCTCCTCAGACTCAGTCCAGTGGGGAGATGACCTCTCAGCAGACTGTGATGACTGCAGTTAGCAGGTCCAGAACAGGGAGCTTGTTTGGGGTGCAATTGCTTTGTTCATTCTCCTTAACTGAAGTGCAGGCAGTCTGTGCTAAGCTCTCTGGGGCCCCGCACTCGGTTCCTGAGCAGTGGCCTCAAGTTGAGAGTGATGGGCTCTCCTGGGTCTGTCCCATACAGGTTTCAATCGAAGTGGCGGAGGTGGCTACAACCAGAACCGCTGGGGTAACAACAACCGGGATAACAACAACTCCAACAACCGAGGCAGCTACAATAGGATCCCTCAGCAACAGCCACCACCACAGCAGCCCCCACCACCACCCAGCTACAGCCCTGCTCGGAACCCCCCTGTGCCGAGCACCTACAACAAGAACAGCACCATCCCTGGCTCCAGCGCCAATACCAGCACCCCTACCGTCAGCAGCTACAGCCCTCCACAGGTGAGAAGGGTATGCGCCTGCACACTCAGCAGTACAGACGAGCATGGCGCCACGGAGGAAGATGGCACATGTTCTGGCCACTGCTCTTCACTCGAGGCAGGGGTGACATTCTCCTGGCTGGGCCACTGGCCTCATGAATCCGCTAGATCACTCTCATTGCAAGTTACCACTTGTACAGACTGGAAAGGGGCAGCCTCTTTGTCCTCAAGATAGGGAAACTCAGGCCCAAGAAAGGAAAAGGAGGCCACTTAGCCCTAAAAACAGGTGTGGGAGTACCCTGGCATTTTGCCCTGAGGGTCAGGGCAAGTTGTGCTCACTTCCCATGACCAGTCTCTGGAGTGCACAAACTACGTAAACGGAATACCCCTGTTGGACAACCATTTCCTGAGCACTTTGCATGTGGCAGGAAGCAGACACAGGATTCAAGGATTGATTGCTACTCCTAGTCTGATAAGGGTATTTCCTTAAACAAGAGTCCAGCTGCCCAACACTTAAACCCTAGCCCCACACTTGTGTCATGACCTGAGATAAATACTCTGGTTCTTCAAGAGATCTTCCTCCCAGGAGCCATGTCCTGTGCTAAGAGTGGTTTGTGCACACAGCTTACTCATCATGCCAGGCAATCCAAAGTGGGCTGGATTTCAGGAGAGATCATATACTTGCCTTCCGGTCTCTCTGTGTAGGACAAATGAGGAGGCTGACCATCCTGTCTGGACAGTGACACAGAGCACCTGCTTTCTCCTCAGCCCTAAAATGATCTTCACCAGGAACCACTGTGGGCCCTTCCTCCATCCCAGTTACAAACTGGCTCTCTCACAGCCTTGGTGGTTATTTTGAGTTTTTTTGGTTTGTTTTTTTCTGTCTTTTCCAGCCAACTTACAGCCAGCCACCCTACAACCAGGGAGGTTACACCCAGGCCTACACAGCCCCACCACCTCCACCTCCACCACCACCTGCCTACACCTACGGGAGCTACGGCGGGTACACCCCGGCCCCCTACACCCCGCCGCCACCTCCCACCGCACAGACCTACCCTCAGCCCAGCTATAACCAGTATCAGCAGGTAGGTGCTAGACTGGGAGCTGCCTGGATAAAGAAAATTTTAGGGGCTCCTCCTGAGTGCATATTCTCAGACTTGAGTCCGTGCTGCTCCAAAAAGGACAGAAGCCTGGGCTCAGGACTGGTGCTCACTGGTAACCATGTCTGAACTAAGTGCCAAGGAGGCGTCTCCCAGCCTTCCTGCACAGCACAGCGAGCTGAGATTGGGGCTTTCAGGAGGCTGCACCGTGCTAATTGCCTATCTGATTGTCTGGTCTTCAGGCTTCATTCCTGTTACTGAATAGTTTTATTGCACTGTCTGGTTATGCCTGAGAGGACTCTTGAGTTGGCTAGTCAAGAGACCTAGGCTGTAGTCCTAACTGTCTGCTCATGTGACAGCAGCTCAGTCACTCATCCTTCTTGGGCACTCGGGACCCAGCTGTCAGCTGCCATCCTGGCACCCATCTCTACCTTAGGTGAGGGTGAGGGTGGGTGTGGAGGAGGAAAGCCAGGTGCTGGGGTCTTACATATTGCTTTCTCTCCCCCAGTATGCCCAGCAGTGGAACCAGTACTATCAGAACCAGGCCCAGTGGCCGCCATATTACGGGAACTACGACTACAGTAGCTACGCTGGGAGCACACAGGGCGGCACGAGCACACAGTAGCCAGGGCACCCGGAGGTCCTGCCCGCTTCTCTACCAGCGCCACCTTGGCCCAGCTGATGCCCCCACTGGGTCGTGTGGTGCTGGAAGACAGGTCGTCCCAGGGCTGACTCCCTCCAGCCAGCTGCCTCCCAACTGAGGGCTCCACACAAGGGGCCTGGCATTTCTCTGGATTCAAACAGGCAACAATGACCTTTTATCTTCTGTTTGTTCCCATGTCCTCCTCTTCCTCTTCCCTTTTTGACTAAAAAGCCTTCCCCTCCCTTGGTACAGTGAAGCTGGGTGACTGAGGACTCCTCCTGTTCACACTCACTCAGCCCCACCCTCGGCCCTTCATCTTCCCAGACCCTCATGCAGTTTGTTATAAATTCTTCCAGGAGCTGTTTTACAGTCTACTTTTCAGGATTTAAAAAAAAAAAGTTGAAAACTTAAAAAAAAAAACAAACAAACCATCAACCCATGAGCAAAATGCAGAGAGGAGGCAGTGACAGATCTTTTTTCTTTTGTAATTATGTTTTCCCTCTTCCTTTTTTTTTTTTAGTTTGAGAATTTGTCAATTTTTACTGTGGGTCAGCTATTGATAGGCTATTTCATCTCTTTGCTGACTTCAGGTGACTGAGGAAGAGCCACACCCTCAAAAAATACACACAAAAAAAACCCCAACAAACCACAAAGCCACCTTTGACCTAACTTTTTATACAATGTCTCGGTTCCCCATAACTTTGCACACAGCTTCTGTGTTCAGTTGAATTGTAACTGCTTTTTGTATTTGGAGAGAGTGTGACTATTGAACTTGAAACCTTTTATACCAGGCGTCCTGGTAGTTTCTGGTGGGATGAAATGGGTAAGAGGGGCAAAGGGGGCTGGGATCCTTTCCTTCAGAAAGCCCAGGTTCATTTGCAGCCTCCCCTCCAGCTCCCAGGCCTGAGCATTTTTCCTGTAGTGCTCTTTGATTATTTTTACTTCCTCCTGTCCCATATGTTTTCATGGGATTTTAACAAACCCAGTTATTAAGAAATGTATTTGCCCTGTTTTATTTTCTTTGAATAAATGACATGGCATTTCTTAGAAGGAAGGAAGCAAGGATGGAAACCCTGCAGTGTTACTGTACTTGGCGTTTAATTTGGGGTTAAGGGTGGCTTTCTAAGGGGAAATTACTTCCTCATTTATCAAGCAAACATGTAATTACCAAGGGCTTCATGTGCCTTGCTTAGTATGAGGGCAGAGGATGTTCCCTTGAGCATCCTGGGGACCCAAGTTGCAAATTAATTAGTGGATTTTCAAAGTGATTCTTGGGTCTTTCATTGCCTCACTGGCAATACACTCTCCAAATCTATCCGAAAGTTTTGATAGAAAGTGTAATATAGTCCTGAGGCCAAGGGAAAGATGGGGTGATTGCAGGGCTAGTAAAATCATTATGGGGTATTAACTCCCCAGCCCTGGTCTGCCCTGGCTCAGGATGATTCTTAGGTGAATCTCCTGTAGCTCAGACCTCTGGAGATTCCAGGAAACTTTATTCAGCTAGCTTATGCCAAGCATGGTGCCTCTCTCTATCCATCCTTGGTGGTAGGGGCACAGCCTGGCCAAAATAGTCCTTTCCCCTGCCCTCACGGGACTCCTGGTTCAGATGCACTATCTGGTGACAGCAGCAAATGATCAGAGGTCGAGAAGTCTGAGAGAAAGTGGTAAGGACTTAACGTGGGAGTTGGAAGTCATCATGAACTGCCAAAACACTTTAAAAACCTCCCTTTGAAGATGTGATAGAAAGACTTAATTGCCAGTTCCTGAAAAGTGTCGTCATGTTTGGTAAAAGGTCACTCAATGAAAGGAACAATCTTCAATGAGATGGATTGACAGTGGCTGCAACAGAGACTCGGCCACAGTCGTGAGGATGGTGCAGGATTGCGTAGTATATTGGGTTTGCTGTGAGTTGGAGCACCTAACAGCAAGGTAATCTAGACTGCCTCATATTGAAACCACACAGCCACCATCTTTCATCAGCACTTTGTTCACATGTTTGTGCTGGGACACAGGAGTGGGATGCACTTCCTCTCAGGCATTGAACCCGAAAGGAGGTAGGTGCTAGCTGCTGAGGTGTCCCTGCAGACTCTACACCTGCTATTTAGTGAAATCCTAGAGAGGTTCCCCTGAGAAATTCTCTTCAGATCCATATATGCATTGATAACACCCTCTGCTGACCTCTTCTCTTAGCACCCAAATACTGTCCCTGCCCACTGGCAAATTAAGACCTTTATAACTTCCCTTTAGTGAGCTCTGGTGGCCTAGTGGTAAAACTGTCACAATCCCAAACCCACACAGTTTGAATCCATTAGCTGCTCCATGGGAAAAGGATGGGCAGCCTGCAACTAACTTCTGAAAACTTGCTGGAATTACAGATCTGTTGCAACTTGATGACAACATACCCTTCCACTAGGGAACTTTGATAGCCTAGTGGTAAGAAACTACACTATAATCCCAGAGGCATGTGGCTATTCCACAGGATGTAATTTGTTGTGTACCATCAAGTTGGAACCAACCCATAGCTGACCCCCGCAGTGGGTTTTCAGAAAGAATCCCATACCCAACTCTCAGAGCAGTGGGTGGATTTGAACCATGTGTCTTTGGGACTGCATTACAGATTTTTACTACTAGGACACCAGAGCTACCCATGTAATTTACTGCCTCTGGAAACACTGGAGTCAGCTGTGCTGAGTCTAGTCCAGCACACAACATAACCTACATTTAAGGAGTTTCAGTGACCTAATCTGTAGGGAGTAGCATTGCAAACTCAGATGATGCCTTTGGCAGTTTAAATCCAGCAGAGCAGTCTCTTCCCATGCAGTTCTGCGCATCAAAAAAAAACCCCATTTGAAGGTCAATTATGAGTGTTAAGACTGGGCAAATGAGTTGCCTCCCTACAGATCAGTAGGTAATCGAAGAATAAAGCAGTATGTGCTTCTCTTGCTCTTAGCTAGTCTGGGTTACTACAACCTTCCTTACCCTGTGCCACAGCCGCTCAGAATAAAAGTGTGCAAGCTACAGTTTGAGTCCCTGGTGACCTCTCTGGCTTTGTCTCTCAAACCAGATTTGTTCTAAAGTGTAAGGGAAAGGTATCCTACGAGACTTAGGTTGTGAGTCAGCAACCCTATGTACAACGGATCTGAATCCTTGTCCTGAAAGGAATTCATAAATTATAAACCTCTACTTGGCAAAATAAGAATCTTGAGAACTTCAAAGTAGAACTTCTCTATCCCTCCACTACCACAGTGAAGCCCTTGAAACTCAGACCAAACTGCAAGAAATGAGCACTTCCACCCTTCCCCAAGTCAGGCTGGCTCCTACCCATCCTAAAGAGATACGACTCCGGTTACCTAGCTACATATTGAAACTAAGGTGGCAAGTTCTACTACCCATCTCATCCCCACCACAGACTGGATAGAGGGGCAAGATGCTGGGAGACCCCCTTTTTTCTGAGGAGCTGGTGGCGGATTCTAACCACCTAGGGAGCGCCACTTTTGGTTTCAGCAGCACAACCCCCTACAGGTCACGAGAGCCTTAAAACCCCTCAAATGCAATTGCCATGGAGTCAGAATCTACAAGCTGTCCCTCCAGTGTCTTTTAGCAAGATGTGAATCGCAAGGTAGGAGACTGGCCATGTTTCTCCCACAGGACCACTTTTGGGTTCGAACAGCCAGAGAGGATTTTGATTGACAGCACCAGAGCCGCCTAGGAGAAATGAAGGTTGACTGGCGTCCACCCCAAAATGCTGGGCCATTCTGTTCCAAGCCTCTGCTGGGTGCTGGAGTTAACAGCACCGAGAAAAGATGAGTCATGAACCAGATGCTTTATAGCTTTCCAATTGTGTAGCAGTTCAGATAGGCAGCACCACGAGGCCTCCCTGATCTCTGCGCCACTGCGGATTGCTTCCGTAGGCACGCATGCGTATAGAGAGGTCCACGTTAAGCCCGGAACCTTGCTGCCAGGATGCAGCGGAGCTTTCGGCTTCGGGAGAGTGCGCAACCGGAAGGAGCTGCTAAGTGGGGCCCTTGGGCCGGTGAGTGGCAGCGGTGGTTGAGAAGTCGTGGAGAATCAGGATGGATGCCGTGGCGACTGCGGCCCCTACAGCAAGGGGACCCGATGAGGGTGAGGCCCCAGCCGCGCTGAGGCGGAGGGAGGGCGTAACTGCAGTGTCCCTGGAAGAGTATTCCCCGGGAACGTGAAGGAGGACACTTTAGAGAGGCACACCTCACCTGTCCCTCTCACCAGGGTAACCGGTCTCTCGTCGCAGACCCACTTCCCAACCACCCCACCTCCAAAATTAACCTTTCAAGAATGTTTCCTTCCATGTCCTAGTCTCACCTGTTTCTTCGCCTGTCTAGTGCTCAAATTAATTTAAATCTTCCCTGTCTTAGGCTAGTTCCTTTCTCAGAGAACTTACGTATAATCCAGGATAATTTTCCCATGCTCAGTATCCTTAATGTAATCATAACTATGAAGACTGTTTTGGGGCATAAAGGTAACATTCACAGGTGTTAAGGATTAGGATGTGGCTCTCTGGGGTACTCTTTTTTTTTTTAAAAGCCCAACAAATCCTCTTTCACAAATATGTCTTCTCCCCGTCTGTTCATGTTCCCCTCTTTCCAACCTTCACCCCTGCCCACCTCCTGAAACTTTCATTTCTCTAGTAGTTTCTGGGACACCTCCCCATTTGTATTCCCGGGGCCCTCACAACTTCCACATCCCAAACCTGCACCTCTTCCATCTCCCAGTCTCAGGGACAGGCTGATCATGCTCAGGCCAGAGCCCTGAAGGCTGTCCCATATAAGCCTTTCACACCACCCCCAACTCTCAAAGCACGATTTGTCCACTTAGCCTCTTGTCCTTCTGATATCCACCTTTCTCTGGTCCAGTTAAAACTTTTCTTTCGTTTTTCCCCCCAAGCAAAGAATGAGGTTTATTAGAGAAAAGGCAGACAAAGAAGGGATGGCAGCACAGCTTTAGACCATGAAGCCACTAGAGCTCCCACTGCCACGTGTTTGTTACCATCTTCTAGAGTCAGAATCACCCCACAGCTGTCCCTCTAGCAGGTTTTCAGAGGCAGTAAGTCACACAGGAGGAGACTACCTGTCCTTTTTTGGTAAAGCAGCTGATGAATTCTAACTGCTTACCTTTGGGATTGCAGCACAGATTCTTACCACTAGGCCACAAGAGCTCCCTTACTGCTACTTGAAGCCTCATAAATCTCTCCCAGCAGGTTGCATGAAGCCCAGCCCTGGCCACTGGGGGGAGATGAGCTGGACACCCGTCCCACCCAGGTCTGAGGACAAGGTGGACACCTTGGAGGGAGCACCCAAGGCCCCTGACAGTGACCCCCTTGGAACCGAGAGTGCAGCAGTGAGTGCCATGTTGCGGGCCGTGGCTGCTGGCCACCTGCCTGTGTGCAGCCAGCAGCAGGGTGAACCTGACCTGACAGAGCATGAAAAGGTGGCCATCCTCAGCCAGCTGTACCATGAGAAGCCACTGGTGTTCCTGGAGCGCTTCCGCACAGGCCTCCGTGAGGAGCACTTGGCCTGCTTCAGCCACCTGCGTGGGGACCACCGTGCAGACTTCTACTGTGCTGAGGTGGCCCGGCAGGGCACTGCCCGGCCCCGTACCCTGCGCAACCGGCGCTATGCTGCTCTGCGTGAGCTCATCCAAGGTGAGAGACAAGTGAAGAGGGAAGGCAGGCTGAGGTCGAAATGGGGAGGGACAGAGAGATGAGTGAGCAGGAAACTGAGACAGAGGTGAAGAGTAACAGAAAGATAGAGGCAGAGGTAGTGAGAAATGAAGGGGTAAGAGCAGAAATATAGAGGGACGGCTGTCGTGGGAGGTGAGTCTTCCGGCCAAGATAGGGAGAGACTAAGATAGAAGTGAAGTAAGGGGGGGGGGGGTGGCGCAGATGGGCCTAAAGAGGAAAGGAAGGCACAGAGAGGGATAAAAGGAAGGACAGAACTTTGCAGCTGGAAGAAGCAGCCTTTCAAATCCGTGGGTAAAGGAGGCTTGCTCCAAACACAGCACTGTGATAGCAGATTTTCTGTGTAGACAAAGGGATCCCTTCCTCACGCCATCCACAAAAGTATTGCAAGAAACCAAGGGGAACAGGTTTCTGACCCTGGGAACATGAGATCTTTCTTAAATAAGACATACAGCATGTGAAAGTGATAAAGGAAAAACACTGATAACATTTTTTATTTTGACATAATTAAAAGCATTTTAGAACTGGAACCAAAGTGAAAAGATGGGTAGAGTTGAACCCTAGTGAGGACAGATTTTAGCAAAGGAGGAGGCACAAGTTGTAGAGAGATGGAAAGAATAAGATTCAGGGCGTGGTAGGGGGAGAGAGGTGAGGAAAATAAGGTAAGAACGAATGAATGCACGGCACACTAGTAGTGGAGCTTGTGGATACTGCCCGGGCACGCAGTCCATGGGCACCAGACTAGCTGTGCCTATGAAGGCGGGCTGCCAGGCTGCAGCCAAGAGAGGACTGTGTGTGGACATGCTTGGGCCACACAGCCACTTGTGTGAGCACGCACTCCCACGTGACTCCAGGACAGGGCTCCTGCAGGCTTTCTGCAAGTAGGAGTGCATAAACACGCTGGGACACGTGTGCCCCATGAGCACATGCATGCCTCACACCCAGCCCTGCCTCTGGCCTGCATGCCTGACCCTCATGACCACCCTCTACCCTGCACAGGGGGCGAGTACTTCAGTGACGAGCAGATGCGGTTCCGTGCCCCGCTGCTGTACGAGCAGTACATCGGGCGGTACCTGACCCAAGAGGAACTCAGTGCCCGTGCCCGTGCCCCGGCTCCCCAGCCTCCAAAGTCCGGTTCCCCCAGCACCCCGGCCTGCCCCCTCTCTGACCTGCTGCTCCAGTCCTACCAAGAGTGGGAGGTGCAGCAGCGGCTGCTCCAGCAGCGGGAAGAGGAGGAGGCCTGCCTGGAGGAGGAAGAGGAAGAAGACGACAGTAATGAGGAAGGTAAGGAACCCGGCCTAGACCTGTCTGTCTCTCTTCTTTCTCCGGCAACAAGCTAAGCCCCCAACAAGAAGGGCTGACACCACAAGCCCTCCCGCCTGGCATGGCTTTTAGCCCTACCTGGCCAAGCCCTCTCCAGTCTTTAGATGGAACTGCTCGTACTGCCTGGCCTTGCACTTCTAAGACCTTTGTACCTGCCCTCCCACTGCCAGGAATGTCCTCTCTCCTCCTCTCATATCTATTTGTCATCAGATCTTCCTGTTGTTCAGTCCCTAGTCTCCTTAGCCCGGCACTGTCAGTGTCTGGAGGGCAGGGGCCTGGCCGGCAGCCACTGCATGACCCCTCATGCACCTGGCACAGGGCTGGGCCTGGAGGTAGCAGCTCCCCACTGTGTGCACTCAGCACCCACAAGCGCCCTCTGCGGGTGTCTTCTCTAGACGACAGCTCCAGCAGAGACTCAGAGGCCTGGGTCCCGGATTCTGAGGAGAGGCTGATCCTGCGGGAGGAGTTCACCAGCCGGATGCACCAGCGCTTCCTGGACGGCAAGGACGGGGACTTTGACTACAGGTGTTCTGGGCCCACACCCACCTATCCCCACATTCATATTTCAAGCTCTCGAGCAGGTCCAGAACATAGGTCTAGAGTCAGATACCCAGATCCAGAGGTGGCTGGGTGGTCCTGCACCCACCTGGTCTGTCCCAGAGCCTTCGTCCCCTCAGGCCCTCAAGAAAGGAAGGGGCAGGGCTGACCCTTTGTCCAGTACTGACCATATACTGTAGCCAGGCCATTCTGTCTGAGATAATGCCACTACCCTGAGCCCCACATGTCCCCCAGGACTATGTGCAGCAGGAGCTGACACCTAGCAGGGTCATTGCCTCCTGTGGTGGTAGCTCCATAGTCCCAGTGGCTGAATTTCTGCAGTGTAATTCTGAGAGAGAGATACCCGGTGGCCTGTTTTAGAAAAGGATTTTGCTCCCAGGGTACAGGGCACAGGAACATGAAGTATCAAGGTCAAAGGGAAATGGTTTCCTAAAGTGAGGCCACCTGACCTGGTGGTACAGAGCCCTGGATTCCATTCCAGCCCTGGTCACTTAGGAACTGTGACTGTGAACAAGCTGTCTCTCCACTCAGACCTTGGTGGGGGAAATGGGGTTGTGACCCCACTGACTCCAGTGAATGAGGCATCACTGGCTTGGTCCCCTGGTTGCAGGGTAGGTTCTCTGATCCTGTCCAGCTCAGGTGGAGCTGCTTGGGGGCCCCAGTTCCCACAGAGTGGGGTCGGCCCAGAGCCTGGGACGTGAGGATCCCTGGGGAAGCCAGTCACCACTTCTCAGCTGACTAGGAGGACACTGGGCCTGGCCTGAATGACAGGGAGGGATGGGCCTGAAGCCAGTCCTGGGGCTGTTGCTGCTCATCCAGCAGCTTTATTGGGCATCTGCTGTGTCCGTCTCTGAGGGCAGAGCAGGGAGCAGAGCTGATGAACTCTGGAAGATGACAGAATTATCTAGCATCTGGTGGTGATGAGACCACAAGGAACAATAAATCCAGAGAAGGGGAGAGCCTGTCTGAGGAGGTGACATGTGAGCAAGGGCCCCCAGAAAGTCAAGAGAAGTCCCAGAAGTCTTGGGGGCGGTATGTTCCTAGGGGGCAAGCAAGGGCAAAGGCGCTAAGGTGGCCCACATGAAGTGAGTCGTAGGGACAGACAGGCAGACACAGAGGCTTAAGCATCACCTCAGTGTGGCTGGGAGCTCCTCAGAATCAAGGCCAGCGGGACAGGGGTGGAACCCATGGGTGGGAGGCAGAGGTGTGATGGTGCTGTGGGCCGTCCTGTGCCCCTGGGCGATCCTGTGGGCCGTCCTGTGCTCCATGGGAGGCTTAGCCATATCCTGGACTATGTGCCGATAGAAAACCCCAACCCAGTTGTGATAATGACAATGTCACAAAATCTTCCTGGGAGTAAAGCCATACTCTGCTGAGAACACCTGCCTCAGGGAATATAGACCCTGCTTGAAGAACTGGAAATCTGAATTTTTATGGAAAAATCTGACTTGTATGATGTTTCCCTTTTTCAGTTTGAAGAAGTTTAAAGGCCAATCCCTTCTGAGTCAGCTAGTTGTCAGCATTTGACCTCTGTCCTCTAGTTCCCTAGACCCCTTGACATGCCCCTTGTCCCCCCAAACTCCAGTCAGGTCCCCAGCTTCTCCAAAATGTAGAGAGCAGGGGGGCAGGTGGCCTGGGTCCCAGGGAGGCCTTGCCCCTAACAGCCTGTCCCCCTGCAGCACAGTGGACGACAACCCTGACTTTGACAACCTGGACATTGTGGCACGGGACGAGGAGGAGAGGTACTTCGACGAGGAAGAGCCGGAGGACGCGCCCAGCCCCGAGCTGGACCTGGACGGGGACTGATGTCTACCCCCCCCCACCCCTCAACAAGACAGTTGTTGGCAGCCTGGCTCAGCAACTCTTCTCTGAGGTGTCACTACCGCAGTCTCCCCAACCCCACCACTGCCACCCGCCTGCTGAGTCCACACCACGTCTCAGACTCTCAGGCCCTAACTCTGGGGTTCCCTGCTTCAGCCTGCCTTTATCTCCTTGCCCTTTCTACCTGTATATTCTCGCATTTTCTCTATCTCTGTCTCTTTTCCTCCCAACATTTCTGTCTGCTGTTCCTCTCCTTCCCTCTGTCTCTGTCTCTGGTCCTCTCAGTCTCTGTCCCCACAGAACGGCCTCCCCTTGACCACGCCAGGACACTCTCCACGCAGCGGCGTCATACCTGTTCCAGGGCCTGGGTAGAGGTGCTCACACCGGGCCCCTGGGCCTGGCGCTGGGTCCTGCCTGTCCTGCTCCACTGTCACAGTCACGCTCCTTCCACCTCTGAGCTGCTGCTGTCTCCCTGCATGCTTGTATCCATCTCACAGCCCCTGCCCTGACCTCTCTGTCTGTCAGATTTTATCTCTGATTGTCAATCTGCTGACCCAGCCTGAATGCTCTGAGCAGCCGACCCTGGGCTGTTAAGTAACAGTTCACTGTGGGCAGGGGAGGCCCAGGCTTGTGAAGGGTGGGCAGATGAAGAACCAGGGTCACAGGACCTACCAGTTCAAACATGGAGGGGGGCTGTAGGAGGGCTCTCCCCTCACAGCCCCATTGCCCCCCCACCCCCGCCCTGGTCCAGCCACAATTTTCCCTTCTTCACTTCCTCTGCCTCCCTCGCCTGTTTACACTCCCCACATACGCACAGGCTGTTATCATGGGTCCTGAGTCATCCCACACACACACACACATCCCTGCCCCCAGCGGCCACAGGGCCCGCCCCACAGAGCCCCCTGCCGCCCTGAGCTAATGGGAGCCAGATGGCCGCGGGTGACTCAGTCAGCCGCCGGCCTGTGGGAACCCAGGCACCCCGCCTTCCCATGCCCCCACACCCACTCAGGCTCCCCCAGAACACATACATCCAAAGAAGGAACTGGGTCAGGGGCAGGCCAAAGTTCAGGAAGATGAATCCCACAGACCCCCTCACTCCTATTAGATGGAACAGCTGATCCACGAAACTGCCCCCTCAGACATGCAGCACAGAGTAAGGGAGACCCCAAGACCTCGGCCCTCAGCTCCTCACCCTCACTTTCAGCTCTGTTCCCTGGGTCAGCCAGAAGTAGAGTCAGACATAGAAAGTGAGAGTGAGTGTCGAGACCGGGCCGTTGAGATGGAGTCACCATCAAGTAATTACAACCACGCTGGCTGCCAAGCAGTCCATCCTCCAGCCCAGTGGGTGTGAGGGACAGAACTCAAAGATGCTCCCAAGAGCCAGTAGACAGTACTACTAGCTCCAGCTCGCAGATGGCTCAGGATGCCATGGCCATCAAAAGCAAGGAGCCCGAAAAACCACTCCACTAGCAGGTTGAATCCACCAGCTACTCCATGGGAGAAAGATGAACAGTCTCCTCCCGTGCTGTTTACTGTCCCTGAAAACCTTCTAGAGGGTCAGCTGTGGGTTGGATCCAACTGTATGGCACGTAACAACAAAAAGAAGCAGATAGCAGGGCAACCAGGGGCCAGGCAGAGAGGGAGATGGTACAGATACTTCCTTAAATGGGAAGAGTCACGAAGCACGAGACTACAGATAATAGCTGTTAAGCTTGCCCCCACCCCCCCTACCATGTCCTAGGCACCAGCCTCCAGCATGAGCAGCTGTGCCACTGACTTGTCCCCATGCAGTATTAGGCCCCAGGTGTATCATCTTCGTCCTCTAAGATTATCCCTCTATTATATGTTCTCCAAACTTGCAAACTTCTTATCAAATAGGAACTGACCGCTGATCCTCCATTAACATCCAGTACCCATGTAGCAGCCACCTACACCCCAAGATCCTGATTTTGTATGGACCAACCCGAAGCCTATCCAGCAGGTTTTCAGACTCAGTGAATCTTTCCCGCTGAGGAGCTGGTGGATTAACTGCGTGCGGTGGCAGCACAATTCCTCTACACTAAGCCATCAGCCTCAGTGTTTGCAAAGACAAGAAGAGAGGAGTAACATTTCTTAGGCACTTGTGCTTATGCACTAAATTCACAAGGGTGTACCTTGTAAAGAGGCCCTTAGCAACAGGCATGTTTGGGGCCAATTTGTCATTAAATGTGATTATTATGTTTGCCATAAACAGTTTTTCTATTTTTTTCGCCAATGGTATTGGAATGAGTCCCCCACACATGGTGGTGTGTAGAAAGAGGGGAGGGACGTGGTAGAGACAGCAACTGAGTCAGAACTGGGCTTAGTCAGCTAGTTGGAGTGCAAGTTCCCTACAGCTGAAGGCCTTTCAGCTGAGGTGAGGCTGGTGACAGCCAGGGATTAGATGGGCAGATGGGGATCTCAGATGACAAGAGACACACCCCCATCTCAGACTCTGAGCAAATGAGGCCCAGAGCTCTCCCCAAGCTCAGCCCCCAGGTCCTTAGGGTGAGGTGAGTGGAGGGGCTGAGTCAGGGAAGGAGGACACAGCGGGGCAATCCCCTTCCCCAAGCCTCATCTCTTGGCCTGGTCCCAGACCTAAGCTCCCATTCCCCTCACACTACACCTGACCCCTTTCTCTCTGTCCCTGTCCGTCTTTGTCCCTTGCCCCGTGCTGTTCCTTGTCCCAACTGCTCACGCCCTCTCATTTCTCCGTCATTCTTTTCATTCTGTTCCCTCACCTCTCTGTGTCACTTTACACCTTTTCTCCATGTCATTCCCTCCACCTCATGCTCTGGGCTCTGTCACCAGCTTTGTCACCCTGTTTCCTCAGCTGGGCCCCCTCCTTCCTGTTCCCACTCGCTCCAGGGCCTCATTTTTTCCTGTCCTGCTCCCTGCTCAGTCTCTGCCCCCTCCCCTCTGTCTCCCAGGCCCTGGGGGGCCCCCTGCGGGACATCAGCTCAGCTTCATGGGTGGCCCCTGAGAGCCAGGAATAAGGGGGTCCCCGCCTAACCCCCACCCAGGGAGCAGGAGAGAGGGGAATGCCAAGGCTGCTAGCCTGTCTGGCCAGAAGGGAATGTCTGCTGTGGCCTGGTCACCCCCGCCCTCTAGGACCCACTGGGCCATGGCTGCCCCCGGGCTGGGACCGTGTAAACACAGCCGCCTGGCAGCGGGATATTTATACCAAGGGCTGGGCGTGAGTCCAGTGCCCACTGCAGCCCCTGCCCTGCCCTGCCTGCCACCGCAGCCAGCCTGAGCCAGCGTGGCACCAGCCAGCCAGGGGCCTCGCCACAGACACAGTTCCTCTCATGGGTGTCAGCATCCCTCTCCTGGGAAAGCCCCAGCCCAAAACACAGACCCACAGTCTGTGCAGCTGGAAGACAACCCCCATCCTCTCCCACCCCGCCAGAGACCTGGAAATGCCCTCTGGGTGACACAAAGTAGAGACCACACAGCTCATAACTCCTCTGAGGCTGAAGTCACCAGCCCACGCAGGAGACACAAAATGCAGACAGCAGCTGCTCACAGAGGCAGAGGAAGGACACACAGACATTGACAATGATGGCAGGCTGGAAAGATACCACACAGACGTGCTCAGAATAGCAGTTATGCAGACACTGATGACACAACCTAACCCAACACCATTATGCCCACGGACACCGGGGACGGTTACAGAGGAAACCCAATGCGTGTGTGAGACACAAAATACCCTCCTCACAGACCTACTTTACTCAGAAAACACCCACATTGCTGCTGAGAAACAAGACACAACAGCGCCTGGAAGATAATCTCGACTCACTCACATAGGCACAACCATGTGCTGTATGAGATGGAGCTGGGACAAGAACTCAGAGAAACATGGAAAACAGCCTTATGCATGGAAATGGAAGAGTCACAAAGCCATGGAGCTGAACACAGGCACGTACACGTTCACAGAGAAAATACCCACAACGAAGCACCCAGGCTGATGTGCAAGTTCCCATGCGAGACACACAAGGCTCACCACAAAGCGTGCCTTCTCTCCCACGAAGAGATCTGACACATCAAACATTACAAACACCCCAACAATGTATACTCAGAGACTTCTGGAAAGGTGGGGTGTGTGTCTCCCTGTATGTATGGCTGACATAAACACAGAGTTCCCTGCACACTCGTTCATGGTAGAAACAGTAATGAATGCATAGAAGCTTGATGAGGGGGTGTGTCTCACATACGTATTCTGACCCCAGTCCAGCCTGTCTTGAGGAGGGAGCAGGAAGGCCTGAGCTGGCCTCCCCGGCCCTGCTTCCTGTCCCCCCTAGGGGGGTGGACAGGAAGCTGGGGCTCCAGCCGGAACGCAGTCTCCCCCCACAGCTTCCCTCCGCCTGCCAGCAGAGGTAGGAGGAGGGGAGCAGGACCCTAAAACCCCCCTGCCCTGCCTCGGTGGTTGGCTATGGGCAAGGCCAGGCTTGTCCTGCCCGTGTCCTGGCCACTAGGGGCCTGTGGTGCCAGGGCTTAGGCAGAGGCAGTGCACCCCGCATGCGTGTGGTAGAAGGTGCTGAGCCCACAAGTTTCCTCCCCTGGTTCCGCCTGCCAGTTGGTAGGGCGGCGGCAGCCCCAGGGCAGGTGGGCGGATGTGTCATGCAGAGGGCGGGCGAGGTGTGGGTTGGCAGCCAGTGTGTGCGGCCATGCAGGGTGTGGGGCCACTGCTTGTCCTGGGGCCGAGGCACGAGCTGGGCGTGTGAGGGCTGCATCTGTGACCCGGGTGGGGGCGTGTCTGGGTGTGTGGTCTGGGCCCCTGGGTGTGACAGTGTGTCTGGGTATGACGGCCACAGGGAGTGCCCCCTGGCTAGTGTCATGTAGGCGAGTAGGCTCAGTCAGACCAAGGGTGCCTGCTGGCCTGTGCTCCTGCAATGCCCCAGCCAGTGACGTCTGCATGGTGTGCCCCGCTCCTTCATGCCTGCACGCCAGGCCTGCTGTGGCCATGACCCCATGGAGGATGTTTGTGCAAGTGTCCTTGAGTCCCCAGACCAGCTTGTTTCATTTCCTGGCGAGCTGCTGCCAAGATGTGTGTGTCTGCGTGTGACACCAGTGGCCTGACACTGGGGTGTGTGGGTGACCGCGGCCCTACAGAATGCACCTGTGATGGTGTCTTCCTGGGTCCCTACAGTCTCTGCTTATGCCATGCCCAAGGCAAGGCTGTGTTCCTGTGATGGGGTGACACATTCTGTGTTACCTCTGGGGGCTGGGAATGCTCCACTGCCATAGCTCAGGGAGGTCTCAGTAGTACAGGTAAGGCTGGTGACAGCGGTGGAATCTCCTGGCACAATGTACTTACAAACCCCGGCCCCTAAATTCCCGGACATGGGGCAGGAGTTACCTCGTCGCTACCCCTAACCCTGAACTGGGAAGCCCCTTCCAGGGCCCAGGCCATCCTCACCCAAACCTAGTGTTGCTACCACCTCTAGTTAAGTGGACAGTAGCATTCACGGTGTCTTCTATCCCAGGGCAGTCCTTGAAGGAGGAGCCAGGGGCTGGGGAAAGACAGGGGAGAAAGAAAGAGAGGAAGTGAAACCAGGAGAAAGGGGAAACAGGCTAAAGAGGAAGCATGAGAGAAGTCACGAGCAAGGCTCAGCAGAAGGAGGGGAGGAATGGAGGCAGGAGGGGGGACCCACCCCAGGTTAGGTCACCATCCTCACTGGACACCTCCTCACTGGTGTCCCTGCAGCCACAATTGGCCCTATTCTGTCCAACCATCAGCTACAGGGACCCTCTGAGCACATCCCTCTAATGCCCAGAACCCTGCCAGGGCTCCACCTCCTTCAGAGTAAATTATCACTACAGCAAAGGTTAAGCCTCTGGGCCCAAACTCAGGCTGCCTGGGCTTGAATCCCAGCTGCCCCATTTACTGTGTGAGTATAAGCAACTACCTTAGGCTATCTGTGCCACATGGTCTCCATGCATAAAACGGGGACCAAACTGTCTGCACAGTAGAGGTGGGCAAACTCTTTATAAAGGGCCAGAGAGTAAAATGCTTTTGATTTTGCTGTTCAAAGAACTCTCTGTCCCAACTACTCAAGCATCCAGACGTAGATAACATATAAACTTCTAAAAAAGCATAGCCACATCCCAATAAAACTTTATTTACACAAACCAGTGACAGGCTGCAATTGGCGGAGACCTGCAGTTTGCCAACCCCTGCTCTGTGGAGCTGTGAGCAAATGAAATGAGCTGGTTGAGACCATGTATTATTACTCTCTGGCCCAGGTGTGTCATGCTGTGGCCCCCCTTACTCACACTCTTCCAACTACACTAGCCTCTTTCCTCCCTATCTAGCACACCCCAAGGGTGTCCCACAGGTCTTCTCTTCTGGACACTCTCCCCTCATTCTCCCCTTGTGTGGCCCAACTGCCACCTCCTCAGAGAAGCCCCCTCTTCTAAGTCCGCCCTCTGAGGGGAGACCACTGAAAAGCTGTGTTAGATTGTGGGCTCCTGCTGGGCAATGACTCTTCTCTCCGGTTCCCTAGGATTCAATTTCTTCACCTTTAAAATGAGTGTTCCTTGAATTCCTAGACTGAAATCCTAGACTAAAAGTTATGTGCCAGTTAGTCAGAACTGATACACAGCTGACCCTCTAGCAGCTTTTCAGAGGCTATAAATCACATGGAATCACAGTGCAGCTGGCAGATTTGATCCACCTGCCTTTGAATTAGCAGTGCAACTCATATGACCACTAGAGCTCCCTAGGTGAGTAAGTGGGAAAAAGACACCAAAAATGGTGCTCTGGGTAAACTGCTACTAACCGGAAAGACTGGCTTGAACCACCCAGCAGCCCCACAAAGAAAGGCCTGGCAATAGGTTTGCCCTGTGGGCAGCTCTGCCCTGACACACATGCAGTCAGTCACCTGGAGCTAGAATCTGTTGGGACACAGGAGTTTCACTAGTGCTCACTGTGCTAAGAGTAGGTTGTGATTCACAGCAGTCCTGTGTGCGCGTGCAGGTAGTCAAACTGCCTGGAAGGCACTGACATTTTAAAAATGAACTGGGGAGGGGGCTCTCCGTGAGTTTGAACCACCAATCCTCAGGTAAATAGCTGGGCACATTTGCCTCACCCAGGAGCTCTCTTAGCCCACAACCTTCGATTCTCAGTTCCTGAGGGTGTAAATCTTTATAGGTGACCCAGTCTTTCTCTTGAGGCAGCGTTAATGGACTTGACCGCCACTCTTGGGGTTAACAGGCCAACCACACCCCTAGGGCTCCTCAGGGATGCCCATAGAATGGGGCGGTTTGGAAGCTAATATGTGCAGCAAATGTTGAGGTGACAGGTGTCAAATACTGGACAGAAGAGATGGGAGGAGGCAGGAGACCCCCAGTAAGCCCAACAATGACAGAGACTGGAGTCTTCTCTCCACCTTTAATGGGCCCCCAGGTGGGCTGGGGGCAGCTGTCCTTGGAGCAGTTGTCTTTAAATACAGGCCCCGCCCCGGCGGGGCGGGGTCTCAGCTGCACTTGCAGGAGCGCACGATCATGTTGGACAGCTGCTCCACCTTGGCCTTGCGGCCCACGAAGTAGACGATGGGCAGGGGCTCCAGCACCTGCGGCACGCAGCAGGGCGCCGCCGAAGCACCGGGATTGTGTTGGTTGTACAGGGCCAGGACCTGCAGGGGGAGAGCAGGGTCAGGGGTCTGGGGCCCCCACAGCTCCGCTCTGCCTTCCCTCCCCTTTCTCTGGATCCCCATCTCTGTTTTTTTCTCCCCTTCTGCCCCCCCGTCTCTCTTACTCTCCACTTGTCTGGTTTTCCTTTTCAATCTTTATAAAAGCCCCAATGTCCATTCCGAGTTGCGACCCTGTAGACAAAGCGGAACTGACTCAGGGTTTCCAAGCTACAATCTTTGTTCGAACCACCAACCTTTCAACTAGTAGTCAATCTCTCCATTGTCGGTTGCACTCTTCAAGCACTGCACCACCAGACTTCCTTTCCCCCACCCTTGACTTGAACCTGTTTCTGGCGCATGCGCTCGCTCTCAGTGTCTCTCTCTCTCTGTCTCTCTCTCTTCCCCCCTGCCTGTCTGCATTCAGTTTCCGTCTGTCCCTATCTTTCTCCTTCTGTTTGTCTTCACTCTGTCCCTCCGTGGATCTCCTCCTATCTGCCTCGGTTTCTAGAACTTTGCTCAGAGCCTGTCCTGCTTCTCCCCCTATCTACTTGCCCACCCTCATTTCTCTCCATCACCTGCCTCACCTCCTGCTCATTTCTCTCCATCACCTGCCTCACCTCCTGCCAGTTCCCCCTTAAATCCACCTCTCCTCCTCTCTCCCCATACCTCTGCTCCCCCTAGCCAATTCCAGCCGCACCTTGCTATATTGGTTGTCCAGGCTCCAGATATAGGGGCAGGGCCCCAGGCAGAAGTTGGCGTGGTAGCCCTTGGGCTCGTGGATCCACTTCCAGCCCAGATCCTTGCGGAAGTCGATGTACAGCTGGCGCACACAGCAGTTCTTCTCCTTGGAGCTGTGGGTGGGGCGGTGCAGTGTGGAGGTGAAGGGGGAAGAGAGAGCACACCCATTCCTCCCCAGGTGAGACCTCTCCCTACTGCCCCCCACCAAATCTACCTCCATCTGTGTCTCCCTTGGACCCCTTGTGAGGATAACAACAATCACAATAATAGCAATAGCTGTAGCTGACACTGGAGGAGCTCTGGTGGCCTAGCGGTAAAGAGCTGTGCTCCCAAACTGAACGCCTGCCGTTCAAATCCATCTGGTACTTCTCTGGAGAATGATGGACACTCTTGTGATTTTCTACCTCTGAAAACCAGCTACAAGTCAATTCCAACTTGACAGCACACAACACCAACATTCACCGAGCATGAGCACGTCCCACCATGAACAAGATACTCTCGTCCAATGCTCCAAAACAAAGCCCGTAAGAAGCAAGTGACACCCCCCACTCCACGGGGAAGAGCTCATTAAATCATGATACTGCAACACTCTGCTCAGAAAACTCTGAACTTATGTCCTGGCCAGGGGCTGTAAATCACATGGGAGGTGATTTGCCATCTCTTTTCCTTTGATGCAGCTGGAGACCATTGCTGGGTTAGTCACTGACAAACCCTCTTTCGAGGTTCAGGTCCATATTAATGTATTTATTTATTCAAAAACTAATCAATAATGTTGCTGCTTTAAAAAAAATCAATCATGTATAATGATCAGTAACTACTTTAGGGAGCTCTGGTGGACTAGTGGTAAGAAACTACACTACAATCCCAGAGGCATGCAGTTTGAATCTACCAGCTGCTTTGTGAGAGAAGGATGGGCAGTCTCCTCCTGTGCGATTAACAGCTTTTAACAGCTTCTGAAAACCCACTGGAGGGTCAGCTATGGGTTGGTTCTGAGTCAATGATACTCAACAACAACTACTTTAGAACCAAGATGCGAACATAAGGGGATAGGGAAACTAGATTAATGGAAACAGAACAACCAGAACAGAAATCATGGAAATGTTATGCACTGCAAAGAACATAACCAATGTCACTGAACAACTGTGTAGGAATTATTGAATGGGAACCCAAACTCATGTATAAAACCATCATAATAAACATGGTAAATATTCTATTTTTCCAATAATCAAGAGAAATAGTTGTGGTGACTTAAGGAGTTGTGCTGCCGATCAAAAAGTAGTTCAAACCCACCAGCTGCTCTGAGGGAAAATTACAAGCAATCTCCTCCTATGTAATTTATAGCCTCTTAGAATCCACTAGAAGATCAGCCATGAGTTGTCTGACTCGATGACAGTAAGTGTAAACGAATGGATCAGTTTCTAGGAATGGTGAAGAACGTCTTATTATTATCCTTGTTTGTTGTTGTTGGTATATGCCATCAAGTCATTTGCGACTCATAGCAACCCTATGTACAACAGCCCTAAACCCTACTCTATCCTGTGCTAATCGCATTGCCTCTGACACACCCATCCTGATTACCCCAGTCACTGAATCAATCCACCTCATAGAGGGTCTTCCCCTCCTGCGCTGTCCCTCCACCCTACCAAGCATGATGTCCCTCTCCAAGGACCTGTCTCCTTACAACATGTTCAAAGTATGTCAGACGAAGCCCCAGAACCCTTGCCTCCAAGGAGTAGCTTGGTTTAACCCTCTCCAGGATGAATCTGTTTATTTTCTTGGCAGTCCAGGGTACATTCAATACTCTTCTCCAGCACCACAACTCAAAGACATCAATTCTCCTTCTATCCTCCCTAGTCGTTGTCCAACTCTCTGATGCATAACAAGTGATTGCAAAATCCATGGCCTGTATGAGACGCACCTTAGTCTCCAGAGAGACACCGTTGCTCTTGAGTACTTTAGAGAGGTCCCTAACAGCAGACTTTCCCATCTCAATACGTTTTTTTTATTTCCTGGCTGCTGGTTCCAAGAGTGTTGACCGTGGAGCCGAGCAAACTGAAGCTGTGAACCATCTCAATTTCTTCGCCATCCATCCTGATGCTACCAATTGATCCAGTGGTGAGAATCTTTGTCTTCTTGACATTGAGCCTCAGTCCATACTGAAGGCTGCAGTCCTTGACCCTCTGTAGCAAGTGCATGAGGTCCTCCTCAGTTCCAACAAGCAGGGTTGTGTCATCTGCATAATGCAGATTGTTAATAGATCTTCCACTAATCCTGACGCCACACTTCTCCTCATAGAGCCCAGCCTCTCAGATAATCTGCTCTTCATACAGGTTGAAAAGGTACGGATGGAGATAGGACACCTCCCTGGCGTACACCCTTCCCAATTTTGAACCATGCGGTGTTACCCTGCTCTGTTCTGACGACTGCCTCTTGGTCCAAGTATAGGTTTCGCATTAGCACGATTAAATGTTCTGGGATTCCCATTCTTCTCAGAGTCAGCCACAGTTTGTTATGATCCACACAGTCAAACGCCTTTGCATAATCAATGAAACAGAGATAGACATTCTCCTGGTATTCCCTGCTTTCAGCTAAGATCCATCTAACATCAGCTACAATATCCCTAGTACCATGACCCCTTCTAAACCCAGCATGGACTTCTGGCAGTTCTCTGCTGATGTGCTGTTCCAGTCGTTTTTAGATAATTTTCAGTAGAACCTTGCTTGCATGTGAAATCAATGACACTGTTTAGGGGATAAAAACACTACATCTCATTAGAAATTCTGTTCAGGATGGTGAAAAAGTTCAGGAAGTAACAGTGTGATATACAATGCAATAGATGTAAGAATGTCACTGAACTGAAGATGTCAAAATGGCTTTGAAAGTGGCTAATTTTGATATATATGCTTTGTGACAATAAGATTAAAAAGAAACGGAACTGCAGAGAAGAAGGATGCTGCTTGCTCCCAGACAGCATGCCACCCAGAGGTGGTGACGCTCAGGGCCAGGCTCACAGCTGGCTCTGTGAGACCCTGGAGCCAGTGGCCCTGTCATCAAGAAGGAGGAGGTGATGACACAGGATTTCCACGGTAGGACAAGGTGAAATGATCCTGGAAGGTGTCAGGAAAGAGATCCCTATGAGTTCAGCCTGGATCCCCTAAACTGGCTGGTCTCATCAAAAGGGGGAAGAGTATGCTGGATTAAACAAGGTGCTAACTTGAACACCCACAACAGTGGGCCCAACTGTGGCAATGACTGTGAGGATACACAGAGGCTACTGTGAGCAGGAACCGACTGGGTGACACTTAACTCCTTCCATAGGGACAAGAAATCATCAGGAAGCCCACAGGCAGGCTCAGGAAGGTCCTAGACCCCTGAAACCACAGAGGCATATGTATGTGTGTATACACACACTTCTCAGGGAAAGGCTCTGGCTTCTCAGAGGGCTCCTGGAGTCACAGGAGACGACGAATTGCAGTCTACACTGATCTTTAATTTCCCTCGGGCTCTGGCTGCAGTTCTGAGACCCTAAGGTCTGCAATCCCATTTCCTGACTCAGAGGTTTTCTATGGGGGAATCCCTGGATATCCCTGCAGTTCGAGCCTGAGAACCCGGAAGAAAGACTTTTCTAGGGTCCCGCCCTCTCACTCTCCTTGCCTTCAAGTCAGAAACGACTCACAGCTAAACCTCCCAGTGAGTTTTCAGAGGCTGTAAGTAACAAGGGAGCACATGTCCAGTCTTCCTGCTCTAGAGCAGGGAGTGGGTTCAAACGCCAGAGAGGTGTGGCCTGTGGGTGATTCGTGCAGCTCCCTGCGGACTATGCAGCCAGACCTTCTACCACAGCCTTGTGGAATCAGAAACTCTGGGGCGAGTGAAGACAGAGCCTCCAGGCGATGCTGCTGTGCTCTCTGACCTACTTGGTCAGTGTGCTGCGCCCAAGGTCCTGTGATACACGTGGTCCTTGACTTTGAAAAGCTTTCCTGCCATCCTCTCTGTCAAGACCTGACAGGACTGAATTGTGCTGCCTCCAAAATATATGTTGAAATCCTAACCCCTGTACCTACAATATGACACGGGGTTTCTTCTGTTACATTAATGTAACCATCACAGAGGAAAGCGAGTCCCAAACCGAATCACCTCCAAGTCACACACAGAGAAGAGACATAGAAGAAGAGACACGAGGGAAGGCGCCAAGTGAAGGCAAACACACACAGCAAATGGGTCTACAAGTCCATTAACGGCAGCGACAGCTGCTGCCAGAAGACAAAATAGACACAGAAGCTTCTTCTCCTAGAAGCTCACCCTGGGTTTGGACTTTGAGCCTCCAGGACTGTGCAAAAATATCTGTTCTTTGAAGCCACCTCCTTACGGCCTTTCTGTTACAGCAACCTTTATTCATCAAGACAGGGTCAGGTAAATAAAGAAATCCACCTGGAGTTCCAAAGGAGGACCCAGAGGCCCTAGATGCTTCATCTTGGCTTCTCAGCAGATGTGTGTTTGAGCTGAATAAGAATAGCTACTTGCTATGGATCGTTTCAAATGGAGAGAAATGTAGAGGCCTCCATAGTGTCAACTTTCACTCTGCGATCACCAGCTTCAACAATTATGAACTCACTGCATCCCCAATCCCTTTTCTCTCCCTTCATTATTTTTTTAAATGTACAATTCAGTAACATTAATTATGTCTTAGCATGTTGAACAAAGGGAGCTCCGGGTAGCCTGGTGGTTAAGGAGTTGCTCTGCCAACCGAAAGGCAGGTGGGTTCAAATCCATCAGCTGCTCCACAGAAGAAAAGATGGTCAGTCTCTTCCCATACAATCAATAGCCTCTGAAAAGCTGCTGGAAGGTCAGCCATGAAGTCAGTTCTGACTCGACTGCAGTGAGCTGAGCTGTTGAGTTTGATGTTGCACAGCCATCTCCACTCTCCATTTCCAGTGTTTTGCATCTCATCACAAGAATTCCACCTAGTGTGCTAACTCCTCATTCACCATTTCCCCTGGTCCCTGGTAACTACTGATGACTTTCTGTCTCTTGTGTATTTGTTTATAGGAGCCCTGGTGGCACGGTGCATTAAGCGCTGGACTGCTAGCTGAAAGATCACTGGTTCAAACCCAGC